TTCTCACTTTTTCACTCCTAAGTAGTGCATTTCTCACTTTTATACTGCTCAACGGTAAAAAGACCTACTTCTCATGCTTAACTACCGTCGGTAAAAGAGCCCTTTTTGGGCTTGAGCAATGAAAAAGTGTTTTTTGGCGAGTGGGAGGTTTATATCACGAGCCGAAGGCGAATGATATAATCCCACTAGCTAAAAAACATTTTTTTAAGAGTTACGAACAATATTTTTCATCACAATGTGGCGGAAATTGGACTTTTAGGCACGCGGACCGTGCCGAAAAGTTCACTTTTCGTCACAGCGTGATGAAAATTAAATTTACGAAAATTTTCTCGTAATCACAAGAGTAAAGAGATAATTACTGTTAAATCATTATTTATTTAAATAATTAAATTGTTAACAACAATGTCTTTGCCCAATCGTATAGAAAAGTAACTAACAATATCGTGGTCTGCACCCTCGAATTAGTCAGTACCGATCATATCTAGCCGGGGTCTGCGTTTTCGAGATAAAACCATTGCCAGCGTTCTGACTAAATACCTTGAAGGATTTTCCAAATGATTCCAGAAATTTCCGAAAAATTCTGGACCGGTCTAGACCGTTCTACAATTTTCTTGAACATTTAATGATTTTCAACTGCACGTATGAAAAAATCGTATAGAAATTTTCTATACGGATTGCGTATAGAATTTTTAAGGGATTTTCATATATGATATTCGGATATTTCTATACGGATATTTTTTATACAAATTATTTCTATATACGATTTCTATAGGTTTGATCTTATACGACCCACATGTATAAAAATATTTCGTATGGAGTTTTGACATTTCTCTATGTTTTTCTATAGAGCGTTTAAACATCTTTCGTACGAAAACAAAAATTTACGTAAAAATTTATATGTAGAAATAATTTGTATAGAAAATATTCATATAGAAATATCCGAATATCATATACGGAAATCCTATAGAATTTCTATACGATTTTTTCATACGTGTGTGTTCTTAGTGATATTGTGTATAACCACTTTAATTATTTATAATGTACATGATATTGTTTTAAACTCAGAAATTCACACATATAAGAAAATGGTTTCTTGTATGGTATTATATACCAGAGAAGAAAATTATGTGCAAAATGACCATTCGGTGGCATATTGCTTATTTATTAGTAAAAATAACAATACTGTATGGAGGCATGAGCAATTTCCCTCTTGTTTTTTTTCCATGAATTCGACCACAAAGAACGTGTCTATTAATCGCAGTTTGGAAATGGATAAAGTTCTGATTCTATTTTATTCTTCATTTTTTAAATCTAAATTTCTCCATATTTTTTTGCAATTACCAGCAATTTTTTGAACGATATTGATCTTGCTACGAGCAATTACTGATCTTATTTTATATATTGTGCATGACTGCAATCAATATTATTTACGAAATCTTCAAAAAAAATTGTGAAATTTTGGACAAGAAAGATAAAAATTGAATACATCCAGGGCATTGCCCACTTTTTAATTGCCCTAAAGGTACGCGATTAGATTGTCATATTTTATAGGAGTGATAGTAATAAAGAAAGAAGCTGATATGATTGCTGGAAAATGAGTGTTTTAATTATTAATTATGAAATTCTTCGGTATTCTACAAGTTCCGGGATCAAAAGAAGATATTTATGCTAGTTAAAGAAGAAATGAAAATTTGAAGGGCTGAGAAACTCTACAGTTGAATAAATCGCAAGTTATGTTGATAAAAAAAATTAAAACGTAGAAAAAAAAAGTACATGGAAAAAATATAAAATTGTTTTTTACTGTAGGAACATAGTAATCGAGGACCGTAGCCGGGCACACTCAAAATTTACTGTTGAACGGATAGTAAATCCTTAAAAAATAAGAAGAAATGTTTTTGTAAAAAACCTGCGTCAAGGGAAAGTTTTGTTTGCTTCCTACTGAATAATTAAAATGTTTTAAAAATACAAAAATAAAATGAAAAAACGCCAAGTCAGTAATGTCAAATAAATGGTCATATCAGATGTCTATGAGAAAAATATTTTTAAATCGAATAAGGATTGGAGAAAAATTCTGTATGAAATAAAGAATCACTAGAAGCAGGATCAATGTCCTTGGTGTGGTTAGAACATAGAGGATTAGATAGATACTCGACAGTAAGTTGAAAAATTCCGCGCCGAGGCCGGTATAGTCCGAGTACCGAGGCCGGTATAGTAGAAATTGGTAGAATAAGAATAATAGAATATTAGAAGAAGAATAAGAATAGTAGAATAGAATAAATAAGAATTCGGTTAACCCGAATCAAATTTAAAGTTGTTACGGTACGGTCCTGTATTACAATATTCACATTGCGAATAGTTTTTTGAAGCCCATCCTGTTCCTAAAAAAGTCGCTGTCAGTTTCGCATGGAGATTTGTATATGATCTTTTCTATACAATTCAATACAAAAGCGATAAGAATAAAAATTTCAACGAGTCTTATTGTATACCGCGCTCTTGTTGGACCCAGCGTTCCGTTTTACGTCGGCTTCCCCTACAATCTTCCTGCATTTTGAAGATATCTTTAGACACATGTTGTAGTCAGCATTCCTTCGTTGGTGGGTTAATTTCAGGATCAACAGCAATTTTCGATTATTTCCAGTAGTTTGCTCACTTGAAGAATCAATAGATGCCAAATTCTGTGAAAGACTAACTTTAAGTGATGCGAAAATACTCGTCATTTTGTCGATAATTTTTGATAAAAATTTCATTTTTTTGAACGATTAGTATTTTTTAGATATTCACAATGGAATAGAAAACACGTTTTGACGCATGAAAAAGGAGACTGATATCTCTGTTGAAGGCTGTTTTATATCCTTGAAGTGTATTTAAGTGAATTTTGATAGCTTTTTAAAAAAAATTTCAACATGTTCATTTAATGCCTAACTTTCTAGATATAAATTGATAAGAGAATCTTTACCATCAAATTTTTTGGTGTTTGGATTTGAAGTGGAACCGCTCATTTAGATACCCAGAAAACAATTTTTGCCAGTGCCATCTAAAATTTAAGAGGACATCGGAAATTTGTCGTCAAATTATCGACATACTGTTTGCTGGGTAGTGAGAAAAAGTATGATTACATTGATGATTTCACGTTTTTTGGGCTTCGGACTTGAAGGGGAATGGCTTATTTAGATGGTGATCGAAAGATAGATAGATAGATAGATAGTGAGAAAAAGACTCATTACATTAATGATTCCATGTATCACCTGTCCAGCGAAATGACAAATAGAAAATTTCTTGATTACGACCTTTTACTTTTAGGTAATTTTTCATTTCTGATAAAAGTTAAAGGCACAAGATCGTGCATACAGCAAATGATCAATCTGAAAATGTAGGTATTATAATACGTTTCTCCAGTATTTCCATGAAGAATTGCAGAAAAAATGAGTGGATGTACGATCTTCCCGGTTTAAAAAACTCTGAAAGTAGCTTCCTAGTGCTTACCACCTTTTGCTTTTAAACACGTGATATTTTGTGAGAAGTTCTGCAGTCCATAGACGAAAATTTGCAAGTAGACGGAGAAATCTAGTAAGTAGATTCCTCATATCTTCTGAAATGTGCAAGTTATTGTGCCATTGAATGATTCTAGCAAATGATTCTAAAAGATCTCTCTTTTTATAAATTTCATCACCATAAAAATATCTTTGCCTCTATCTGTTAAAATTACTCATCAATCAAATAATTCCATATTGAACAAAATGTGGGCAATCGACTAAACTGAAATTCATTTGTTCCTTTTTGTTTTTTAAATTCGAGGGAGGAAGGAAAGAGAGAAAGAGGGAAGTGAAATAGTATTTTCGTCATTAGGGCGAAGCAATTTTTTCTGACAAATATGAGGATATGAGGATTTGTATGTATCTGCATTCATATTCGTCAAATTTTTTTTGTCATTCCGGCCGTAAGGCAGCATTTAATCGCTACTTATAGCCGTTATGACAAAAATATTGTTCGTCATACGGCCTAAAAAAACATTTCTAGCTCATATGATTGCAGCCCGAGCCGACAGCGAGGCTGAAAAAAAAGGAAATTGAGTAAAAATTGTGTCACGACCTGACAGCACCTGCAAAGACGTGATGTGAAATTATTTCGATAATCAAGGTGTATGACCCAGTAGTTTAAAGCTTAGGTGTCACAGCTGAACGCACAAATGATACGTCGTAACTTTGAATAGGCTGATAATAAATTTGCTTGCGGCAGTTTATTACTCTGGATGGGCCACTAAAGATGGTAACAAAGAATGGATTGTAAAAAATTGTTACCATTAGGGACATTAATTTTATTAGAAGCTATCAATGCTATCAATTGATTTTACTATTTAATTTTTTTTGGTTCATCGACTGATATGCTTGCGATTTGGGACTAAAAATATTTCTGCGTGGTTTCGACCATTTTCACCCAGCGTTGTCATCATCGTCTTTGTCATTGGCGCTATGTTTGAAGCTTGAGATTTATGTTCGAAAGGTTTCAAGTTCAAATCCCGGCCGGGGAAAGTGATAAAATCGTTAAAAAAATTATGTAAATGAAGAATTATTTATCTGCAGGGATGTCTAGTGTACGTGACATGCAATACTCACTTATTCCTGATACATTCTATTAGAAGTTGAAGAGTAAAATATTGAATTATTTTCCAACTGCGTGCTTTAGAGGAAACCGACAGCACATACCTATATGATATTGGTAGCTCGTTTGTCTATCAAGTGTCGATTTACAGAAGCTTTGCGACAAAAATTTTATACAACTCATAGTGAATGACGTTTTTGACAAGTTGAATTACAATATCCGCCCAATAAAAATGTCATTTACTAACTCGTTAGGTAAATTACTATTTCATCATTAGCTTCATCGCTCGGCCGAAAATATTCATTTGGCTGTGTGGTGTAATTTTCCATGAAATTCTGAATAAATTTTTACATTTCAATACAAATTCCATGACAACCAGTATAGTAGATTTCTAACCTAGGGAGGTAAAATAAAGGAGTCGAGTCCACATGCGGAATTACGTCAGCAGGTGGGTGAGGGTCCTTTATTTTATTTCCCGTGGTTAGAACGGTATTTTTCGCCTTGGCGTAAGTGCCAAGTCAGATTTCCGTCCCAAAGCGAAGCGGGAGGGAAATGAGCACCTTGCGCCCGCCGGGACGAAATAGTACATTACATGCCCGAGCCTTGGAAAACAGATCACCGTCCTCCACGTGCAAGATTGCCTTCCGAGCTGAAGGCGAGGATGGCAAGTACGTGGGAGAGGGTGATATGTTTTCCATGGCGAGGTGTGTATATTATTTCTCGCCTTCGACTCGGACGCCAACTCCACGCGAGTACAAAACCCCATGGCACTCGCCCTAAAATATACTATTGAGCAAACAAACAAAATTCACCATTTTTTCGCATTTTTTTTCTGTTGACGGTACAGGCTAAAAAAAATTTTGAACCCAATTTCGTTTGATAATAACTTGAGTCTTTCCATAATTTTTTCAAAAATCTTCTCCGTGCACTTACTGTCGGAGTGACGAGTCCGTTCCCTTCGTAGCAACCCCCACTTTGGCTAATCTATATTTCCCAACTCTGAAAACGAAGGGAACGGACTTGTCAGTTTGCCCATAATTATCCTTTCGCTCAAGAAAAATGTTCTCACGTGAATTTTTTCAATCTTCCTCAGATTCGGTGATGTCTATCAACGAGTCTAATGGGTAATAGGGTGATAATACATGCATAAATTGAAGGTTGCTCACCTTATCGGTCAACGTTCTTCATGATGTACCTCAAATGTTCATATGTAAATGTAATGTGGGCAACTGCTAGGATGTACACATGGCCACGTAATTAATAAATTGAGTCGTTAATCGACTGATAAGCTGATGAAAGTTTAATGGGCTGAATCATTGTCGCAATCGATATTACACAACTAGAGGACCTTCATTTGATTATCCGAATTCCACGTAATTTGGAAAATTGGAATACATTGGGAAAGAAATTTATAAAATTGTTCTTCTTTATCTATTGATATTCATTAAATTTCTTCATGAATTTTTCGGTGGTTTATGAATTTAAATGTGTCCAAATCTACTGATTTCCCTCATAAACGTAGATACGAGGATGGCGTTCAATTAAATCGATGTCTTTCTCCAATTGATTCAAGTCTTTCTCCATTTTTGCTTTCCTTTTGGCTTTTGGAGGAGTGTCTGTGAGAAAGGGGAGAACCTGGAATTCATGCATGAGCTCTTCGAATTTTTTCTTCATTCCCTAAATGAGATAATGAATTCAATTAGTTATTTATTTATTAATGATTATTCTACTAGTCCAGTGGCGAACTGAATTTTGAATTTTATAAATTTTACTCTACTGCTCTAGAACCCTGAAAAATTTATAAAATTAAAAATTCATTTATTCATGATCTATTATGAATAAAGCAAAACGGATGCTTAACCTTATTGTTTGGAGTATAACAAATATTAACAAAAAACTAAAATCCCATGAAAACTACGGCGCAAGGAGCATTTTGAAGGTAAAAACAGGAAAAAATGAAGTTTTTGGTAGTTATACGGGGCAAAATCGACCGGGTTCGCGAGTTATTCCCACATTCCGTCATATATCACAGACTGTTCAATATGTCCCAAGGCCCACTGAAGACTTTTAAATTTCACTGACGTATCTCCTTAAAAAATACTGAACCATCTTAATGGAGACCGATTCTATGGAAGACATTTTTTGTTCAAAATTCTAAAAGCATAATCAAAAACGGTTGAACATAGAACAGTGCATTTTCAAGTAATTCTATGGGACTTCTAAGGAAAAATCCCGTATCTATTCTACGCGTTTTTTCAATAAAAATGTTCAACAGAAACAATCGTATTAAAAAACAATAGATTTTGTCGTGCTGCACAAGTTATTCTGTTAAGGATAATTGGGCGAGCTGGAAGGGTTGGAAAAAAAGCAGCCATTTTTTTTCACGTAATCTTCAAATGATGGAAAAGGCGTGTGCAAAGTTTCAGACTGCTAGGGAGCATGGTTAATTTATTATGAATTTTTGAAAAAGTGGTCATCTAACGCGTGATCTTATGGAAATCACAAAAAAAAAACTGCAAAACCCAAGGAAAAAATGCAAGCAAAGTCATGAAACTTTAAACACATTTAGAACATGTGATCAATGATTTTTTTGAGTGAAAAAGATTGTCGCCTAGGAGCATTGTTTATTAATAATAGCGAAAAAAGTACTGAAACACAACATTTCTGCGCACGCAGCCCAAACGAGCAGCAACGTCTCAGGTACCGATCGGCTGGGGGTAGTGCGGTCAATTTAAACGTCTCTCGAGAGAGCGATGAAGCGTTGTGATTGGAGCTCCCTCGAGCCAGTGCTACCAGATCCTGGTGACAAAAAAGATAACTCGCATGTTATGTTAAAAGATAACTCGCATAATAACCGACAATTCGCATGGATTAATATTTATTCATTTATTTAAAAAACAATCTGAAGACTATTCAATGCGTGGAACAGATACAAATAAATTTGATTAGCTCCAAAAATAATTTTCAACCGGAGATACTCCCTAATATTGCCTGAATTTTAAATCCGAATGGGAAAGATTTTTTTGTTCAGCGATTGGTTTTCTGCGGGAAAACAATAGAAACCCCTCCGCCTCACCTCCAACACTGAGAGAAAAATTTTCTGATACGTAGACCATATTTACTTGAGAGAAGTAAATTATTTTCAAAGGTTTAAATCTCAGAATGCTTGCAATTCACGGAACTCGAATGAATTCTCATTTATCAATATCGTTGCGCATTATATCATAAATGTATTACATATCTAAATATTGCAACTGCATAACAAAAAAATCATGAAAAGAATAAATACTTGAAGATTGACGGTTCTTATACGTGATTTGAGTGAGTTCATTTACAACAAAATCATACTTGAGAACAAGAATATGTTAAAGCATGAGACCTTTCTCGGGCCACGTGAGTTAAGATGCCTGGGAGAATTAAACAGTTGAAGAAAAATTACGTGTCTCAAGAAAATATGTTTCAGATATTAGAATTTTTTTTCTCAGTGTACATTTCCTCCTCGCCCGATTATCCTTACGATTATATCTACAGAAATTCCTCGGCTTATATTTCCCCAGTTATTTTGCGTGACTTTTTCAATAAGAAGAGAAGAAAATATGGTGGAAAAAAAATCGAAAATTTCAATTAGAACAGAATAAATTGTATAGCAAGATCAGAATCTATCAATATTTTCTGTGAAGAATTTTCTATTTAACATTTTCTATCCAAGCGGTCTCCGCAATTGGGCAAAGAGAGGATGGACTTATAAAATAGTCATAAGTTAATAAGATTATTTTCGAGACACAACATCAAACATGGCGTATACTGGATAATTGCAGAAATTGCGCAAATTACTTTTATCGTTAGTTTATTGAACAAATCAACGATAATGTTGGGTGAGACTTTGTGCCCATACTTGTAAGAGTTTAATACAGATAAATATAACTTCTTTTATCGGCTAGTACATTGTCAACAATGTGAGGGGCAGGGTTGGGCAAGTAAATTACCTCAGGTAAATTACAGGGTTTCTGACTCGTCATAAACTAGGTAAATTACATGGGGGATTTTTAAGCTATTTGACATGTCGAAAACTCACTTGACGATCTTCATTGGCGTGAGCAAAACCGTGATATTTTTTCATATGGGGAGGGTCACATGTCGCAAGAATCATACCTCGCAAGGGTCATACCGAGCGATTCGGGGTGAAGCGAGGGTGAAACATCGCAACGGTCATAACCACTATAACTCATAATGGCCAAACTAACGCTAGGGCCAAACAACAAAATCAGGGTGGATAATTTCAAGGGTGAAATAACCACAAGGTCCAAACGGGATCGCCTTCAAATTATTTCTCTTGATTTATCTCCCGCCTGCGGAAAAGGCACGTCTAAAAATCACGCAGATCAAAAATGAGAGGCAGGCAAGCAGAAGCAGAGGGTCATGACCCTCGTGACCCGCGAAAGCCAAATGTCAAAGTGTTTTTCACCATTCGTGATTATTATATGACATATCAGTAACTTTTTCACTCAAAAAATTATACTGAAGATAAATAATAGAATATACCGGGTTTAACCTCCACCATCTGCAAATATTTAACTAAATATTCATTCATTTGGACGATAATTGCATGAATAACAGCGATTTTGGTCATTTTCAATACTTGTCTCGATGAAAAAATTGATAACCGCCGAACTATTTCGAAAGGCAAACTCTAATTGGCGCCAAAATTTTTGACATTTTATTGATAATTTTTGGGAAAAATTTCATATTTAAGGATAATCGGGCGAGGAGGAAATGTAGGAGGTGAAGCGGAAGGGTTTCTATTGTTTTCCTGCAGAAAACCAATCGCTGAATAAAAAAATTTTTCCCATTCGGATTAAAAATTCAGGCAATATTAGGGACAATCTCTGGTCAAAAATTATTTTTGGAGCTAATCAAATTTATTTGTATCTGTGCCACGCATTTAATGGTTTTCAGATTGTTTTTTTTTTTATAAATGAAAAAACATTAATCCATGCGAAAAAGTGGCAACATCGTCGGTAGTTTTTTTTCCACCAGGAGCTGGTACCACTGGCTCGAGAGAGCTCCAATCACAACGCTTCATCGCTCTCTTAAGAGACGCTTAAATTGACCGCGCTACCCCCACCCGATCGGTACTTGGGACGTTATTTGCTGCTGCTCGTTTGGGCTGCGTGCGCAGAAATTTAATTTTTCAGTACTTTTTTCGCTATTATTAATAAACAATGCTCCTAGGCAACAATCTTTTTCACTCAAAAACTCATTGATCACATGTTCTAAATGTATCTAAAGTTTCATGACTGGCTGCATTTTTTCCTTGGGTTTTGCAATTGTTTTTGGTGATTTCCTTAAGGGGGATAGCCACGGTAAAATTTTAAAAAATTCGAATTTTTTTTTGCCTTTTCCAAAGGTATATGCCTTCAAAAGTATACTCATAAAGTTTCATTTAAAAATTCTAAGAATTAGCCCAGTGGTGACCGTTTATATTGCAGCAGGTGCAGCCGCGCTGCTGGACTCGTGTCCCTCGTGCTCAGGTAGCAATCCCTCGTCGCTCTATTCTTTTCCCGTCAACAAAGCCCAGGGGGAAATGTTTGCCATCATTTGTAATGCATATTACCATTGATTGTAATGGAAAATCCACCCACGAGAGGTGAAAATGACTTCATAAATGAGCAGGTAAACAAAACCTGTGTTCAAGATTTCAGTTTGTCTAAACATTTAGTGCAACGCTGACGCTGCTGAACGCGTTAGTCATTTGTATCTTGTAGAGTGAATTAATTTTCTAATTTTCAATATTTTTTGAGTATCATGGATAGAAAAGGATCTAGACAACGGAGAGCAAGGCCAATGAGAGACGGGGTAAAATTCAGACGCCCTCGGAATAGATTTGAGATTGAGAGAGGCTCCGGGAAATTATCAAGTACTGCAGCCCGAAAGTTACAGGGTGAAAATTATTTCGAAGGCAGCACGGACGCAACAATCGGTTATCGAATATTAAATTTTGTTACTGTTTTTACAACACTCGCGAATCATGTGTCGTGTAAAAATTGTGGTGGTCAAGTAGAATTCCAGGAATGTAGCACATGCGTTCTAGGATTCAAGTTGACAGTGAATTGTGAAAAATGTGACCCTATATTTATTGACTCTTGCCCACTGATAAACAATGCCTACGAGGTGAATAGCAGATTTATTTTTGCGATGAGATTAGTGGGAATAGGTCTGACTGGAGCTGAAAATTTTTGTGCATTCATGGATCTACCGCGGCCTATTTTTCATAGTTTCTATGATAAGATAGTGGAAACTATTAGCGCCGCTGCAAAAATTGTGCGTGACTTGGCGCTCTCGCAAGGTGCAAAGGCAGAGGTGGTTGCTATGGTGAATAAATTAAATGTGGATGAAATTGATGGAATTTATGTATCTGGCGACGGGAGTTGGAAAAAAAGAGGTTTCAAATCTTTATACGGCATTGCATCTTTGATTGGAGTCTACTCTGGGAAAGTTGTAGATGTGATTATGAAAAGCAGTTCCTGTAAAGGTTGTATGCATTTAGATTCATTGAAAGGAACTCCTAATTTCGACGAACTAAAAGAAAGACATTCAAAAAAATGCAAATTGAATCATGAAGGCTCTGCTGGAAAAATGGAAGTGGACGGAATTGTGGAAATGTTCAAGCGGTCCGAGACTTTACACAATTTGAAGTACACAAAGTATATTGGAGATGGTGATACTAAAACCTACAAGGGGGTCGTCAGTGCTGCTCCATACAACAATAAACCTGTTGTGCAAAAAAAAGAATGTACGAATCATGCACAAAAACGCGTCGATAATCGTATAGATGGGTTGAAAAAATGCCACAAAGGCATAGGAGGCAAGGGAAAATTGACAAAGAATCCAGAGAAATGTCGACTTATTATGGCCTGGCTATTCGACGGAATGCACACAAGACCGTACATGAGATGTACAATGATATGTGGGCAACTTTATATCACATGACATCTACTGCAGAAAATCCTCGACATTATTTGTGTCCAGAAGGCCCTGATTCATGGTGCCGCTTCCAAAAAGCTGTTGCGAATGGTACCCTTGACTCTTATTCTGACAAACCACCACTTCCCGAGAATATTGCTGAATTATTGATACCGATATATGAGGAATTAACGAAGCGAGAATTATTGGAGCGATGTCTAGGTGGTTTTACGCAGAACAACAATGAGAGTTTTAATTCAATGGTGTGGCAAATGGCTCCAAAATTTAATTCTAGTGGCGCTGTAATTGTTGACATTGCCCTTTCTCTTGCTACTATTATATTTAATGATGGTATGATAGCAGTTTTGAAAGTGGTAGACTTCCTCGGTGTCAAAATTGGGCCAGTAATGTACGAATTCTGCAAGCGAAAGGATGCCGACCGTATCGAAAATGCTGAATGTCGCTCTACGAGTTCATCTCCAGTGAGCCTCTCCAATAAATCGAAGAGTAGCACTGATGAGGAAGATTCACATTACGGTCCCGGAATTGATGAACTATGGTAAGTGAACAATCAATTTTCGTTTCGGAGTACAGAATTGAATGTATGTGACCATCCGCCCGAGAACGATATACCGGGCCCGCTACGAACGCCCGGTAGGTAGAAAAACTTTGAACGCGTTTTTCTCGAAACACGTTTTTCCGTCCTTGTCCCAATGATAACTCGGAAACTATTTATCCGAATATGAAAAATCGAACTTTACATGATTCAGCACAGCCACCACTATCGTCGGTCGTATGGAATTTTTTTTTCTGTATTATTTCGTTGTTCGTAGTGTTTTTACGTGATGCCTCGGAGCAGGGCTTATTGAACAATTGTTGTACTTTCAACCATTTTTTTTTTTTTTTCGAAATCCGCCAGTACAACGATACTTATACTCTCATTATTCATGAAACTCAAACATATTTTTGTTTCAGAAGCAGAAAATTTCGAATATCGATGGGACGAGCCGAAAAAGAGCCTTGCATTTGATAATTCATAAAATTGTTAAAAAATTAATATTTTGTCAATAAAAAATTATTTTCTCATTGTTTAAACATCATCAAGTATATTACTAACTCTTATTTAGCCATATACTCCAGTTTGATAAGTGAAAAAAAAAAGACAAATGAGACGATTTTTCCGGCGCGTCACCGTGGCTATCCCCCTTAAGATCACGGGTTGAATGATCACTTTTTCTAAAATTCATAATAAATTAACCATGCTCCCCAGCAGTCTGAAACTTTGCACACGCCTTTTCCATCATTTAAAGAATACGTAAAAAAAAAGAAAAAATGGCTGCTTTTTTTCCAACCCTCCGGGCTCACCCGATTATCCTTAAAAAAAATTAGCTTTTTGAGTACTTAACGAAAAAAAAAAACGTTTTCTCGTGTAAACTCCATTAAACTGGAGGTAATGCTATGTATGACATCTCATTTAGAAGGGTTTTTCATGTTCTATCAGTATGCTAAAGGGCGATTCGATAGTTTGAAACCCCACAGAAATATTGAAATCAATTTCGAAAAAAAAAATTTTTTCGACTAAAACTAGCCTTTTTCAAAAAATCCCAACTCCCTCAATTATCAACATTTTTCAATTTTTCTTTCATCAAAATTTTTGTCTAATGGCCACCTTTCAGAAAAAAAAATTGAGACAATAATCCCCAGCACCAACTTTTTCCGTCTGCTGATTTGGTCTGGATCTTTTCATATTTAGTTCGCTAGTACTTTGTCACATTTTGCCCAAATTTATTGTGTAGACCCCTTAAAAAGCGTGTCGACAAATTGTCAAATTTTTCAATAGAATATCAACAAAAAACTAATAGAATTTGCTATATATTTTCACGATGGTTCAGCACTTTCCATTACCGATTCCTTCTGAGTACTTTTGCAGGTGATTCTACTCACATATAAAAGCTCAGCACGTTCTTCATCAGTGACATATCGGCACATTGCTTCTTTCTTTTTTTTAGAAGTTACAACTGCACTCTCAGTAGGTTGAAGTGGTTTAGGAGGGTCAGAAGGTTTAGAATCTTTTTCCGGAATCTCTTGAGTCTCCCTGTGTTTCTCTTCGGCTCGGATAGGAGTTTCCGGTTGACCCTCGATTCCAGATAATACTTGTCTGTCCTCAGAATTGATTTTTCTCGGGACTGGGCGTTCTACTCCGTCCTTTCCTTCCACAGATTTTTTTCCCAACGACTCCTTCGAATTCTAAATGAGGAAAAAAATACCAGCATTATGATGATAATTATGATAAAAAGTTCCTTTGTTGACTGAATTCATTTGATAGAAATCATTCAATTGAATAATTCATCGATTCCCTCTTGCCCTTTTATTGCCGAGTCTTTTCTTCAAAACAGTTTTCTCAAATTCTAATTTTTTAGAGAGAGAAAAATAGTGGAATGTTTGGGGTATCGATATTTTTAATACAATTCAGGCGATTCTTTCTTTCCATCTTTTTACGTTGGTCAAATTTTCCTTTTAAATGGTTTATTAACGTTAATAATGAATTCGTAGTCAAGCCCTCAAACATACTATACGCTGACGAGATCAACACGTCACGCCAGACAGTCACCAGAGTTGTGCACCTGTCGATAACCGTAGTTTCTTACATGACATTGTAAAAAACCCGCAAATGACATAATAAATGTAAAAAATCCAAAAAAACCAGCCGACGTTACCTTCCATCGTAAACCGCAAAGCTTCGCAAAGATTATACCTCGCGAGGGTGATAAAAGTCACGAGTACATACCTCGCCAGGATCATACGTCTCGAGGGTCACACCTCGTAAGGGTCATACCGTGTAAGAGAAAATATTGTTCGACACATATGAGACAGGAATTTTCAGCTCGTGTGATTGTCAACTTCACACTCGTGAAAATTCCGTCTCACTCGTATCGAAGTATACTATTTCTTCGCAATATCCATAAACGGCGTTTGACGGATACGATCTGGCCGTAAAACGACATTGTCTTGCGAATACAATAATATGAGCTAAAAAAGTTTTTTTCTGCCTAATGACGAAATGTACTATTCGAGATTGTTGCAACTTCTAGATTCAGCTAAAAAATTTTTGATAATGCGGATTTTTAGAGCGGAAAATTGGAATAGTTGAGGCATTGATGTTTTATTAATGAAATTCCTTCCGGGTGGATTGTCAAATGGGCTGATTACCATTCGATCTCTGTAGAGCGGGTAAAGTCCACTAGGAATTAATGGGTGTGAACTTCCTCTTCTGTCGTCGACATAATACATTCTCGGTTTTCGTGGCTGGAGTTTCTTGGCATCAATGATATTTTGTTTTGCGAAGTTGCGACCTGGAGATTTATCTTTCTCAGCATCACCAACTCCATCCGTTTTTTTCTTCGAAATTTTGACTTTCTCCCAAGGCGGTAATTTATGCTGATAATTAGGAATATGATAGTGCTTGTGGTTTATATCGTCTCTCTTCATCTCAAGTCTCGAATTTTTTCTTAAAAATTCACTTGGAGATCGGAGTCGGATATTAGGAACTCCCAGAGTCTTGTGGGAACTTTTTCCCTCCATTGATGCACTTCTCACCGAATCCCGAAATTTCGAGATGTATCTAAACCGATAAAAAAAGTCATTAGGTGTATTAATTTTTCAATTTACTGATGGCAGCGGAATTGACAATTTTTATTTTAATTAATTGACAAACATTTTTTGTAAGTCATGATATTTTCTATGTAACAAATTCCTACAACTTTCTTGACTAAAGTCACTTGTAATTGAGAATCAATGCAGTTTCAATTATATCCTAATCAAAAAAAATAAATCTCTAGGATCTAGAGTCTAGACTAGTAGTCTTTGGGTAATAACGGAAAGAAATAATTTGCAAGATAAATCCTTGGATGAGTTCGTGTTGAATTATTAATTCATATTACAATCACACTGTCGTCATTTACCACGAGTTACATAAAGTGAATTGTACTTTCCATGGAAAAAAATCTCGTTTCATTATCAATTCAATGAGTCATTATCAATATTAAAACAAGTGGGAAATTGCTCTTGTATTGTATATAGTATAGTTATTCTTGCTAAGAAATTAGCAATATGCTTTCAAATGATTATTTTGTACATCATTTCTTTCTATTATGTATAATTCATTGTTTATTTCATTTTATGAAATTGGATAAGATTTCTTTTCAACTAATTTTATCAGATTTTCAACTTAGTTGCATGTTATCATCATCATTATTCTTATTATCCCTTTCTTCTATACAACCGATTGTCTGTTTTACGGTTCTATCTCTCCCCTCAGCCTCTCTCAGCCTTTCGATAAAATGTCAATAGACAAACTTTATTTACACATACTTGAATGAATTTGAAACATCGCATTTAAAGAAACCATCAGAAAGCTCACTTTCAGCGAAATTCATGAAGAATTCAAAATTTTCAACAATCATAAAAATCAAATCAACCAATATAGCTATCGTAATGATCTTTTATCATCGACTTAATTGCATTAAAACGAACATTTTAAGCTATGATTAAATTCATTTGAAGCATGATATTCGAAGATATTTCCGGAATTTTGATTTTCAAAAAACACAAAATTTTTGAAAATTTTCGAATAAATCAAAATAACGATTATTGCTATCGCCTTCATCTTTGAACTCGGTCAAAGGGACATTCAAACAAGTTTTTTAAGCCATCCAATCGATTCAGCACATTTTGGTTTTCAGTTATCGTGGGACAACCGATTTTCGTAAAAATTCAAAAATTAAAAAAACTAATCGATGAATTTAATCTAAATTAATACCTACATTTGAAAACACGAAGATTCAATTCCATCCATTCATTAACGAACAATTGAAGAAAAATTTGATTACTCACACACGTATCGACACGGATTAAAAATTGTATTTTTGGACTTTTTGGATCATAACGGGTCGATATAACACAAAAATCCAAAATTTAAACGATTACAATGCTTCCATTCAGAAGCAAAAGCTGTGAAAAGTGTACATTTTACCCCACTCGCCCCTATCAAACTCAGTTTTTCATCACAACGCGTGTGAAGTAGAATTTCGCGTACAGAGGGACGAAAAGAATTTGGATTGTTGATAAAATGAAAAAAAAAATTGAAGAAATTCGTGCATAATTCAACCGCAATGACAAACGTTCTATGTAAATTGCAAATAGATATAATCATTGAAATTGCAAATTAAGGTCACCGTTTACTTATTTCAGACAAAATATCTTAAGGGGATACGTCGGTCAAATTTAAAAGTGTTTACTGGACCCATTGAACAGTTTGTGATATATGACGGAACATGAGAATAACTAGGAAAAATGGTGGACCCGATCGATTTTGCCCCGTATAACCACGAAAAACTTCTTTTTTGCTTCCGAATGGAAGCCTTGTGACCCGTCATTTTGACGATCTCGTAATTTTGCTTGGAAATGATGTAGAATGTCATGAAACGTGAAAATATGATGTTTTTTGAAAATGTGTGTATGTATGTCCGAATGTGTATACCGATTTTTCGGAAATTTTTTATAAATCCCCCCAAAAAAAGGATTAAAGTTTGAGCTAAAAATCTGAAATTTTGTCGTATAATTGGTATTACTTTGGAGCATTTGTGGGCGCAAATTCAGCTCAATCGGCCCAAGTTTCCGAGACATAGCAATTTCTCAAAAATCTTTTTTCTTCAATATCCAAAAAACTAGGCGACCGAGTTGAAGTTTTTTGGCGGGAAAGTATTCCTTACGATAATATCTATTGAAACAAATCATAATATTGCTACGTAACTAGGGTCAGTTTAATAATAATCGACATTTTTGATTTTTGTTGAAAAAATGTTGTGGGCACGATAAGTCCCTGAAAATTGAAGATAGGAAGTTGAAATTTAGTATGATTATAGGTCGTATGATACTACAGAAGTGTATTGTTCACGAGTTGAATCGGATGAGTAGTTTCGACGATATTCACCTTTTTGTAAAAAACTATTATGCTCAATATCTCCTGAACTACTGGGCCGATTCACTTTTTTTTTCAAAATATTTGTCATGGTATCTTCTATCAAGATCAATCAAAATATGCATATCCTCCCATACAAAGTTTTCGAGATATCAGCGTTTTTCTAATTTTTTCATTTTAAAGTTAATGTGGTGTCCATAATACGCGTAAAATTTAGACTAGATATCTGAGATTTTGCGTACTAATTTGTATTATGAGCCCACAGTTATGTATAAAATTTTGTGTCAATCGATTCAGTACATCCGGACATAGAGCAATTTATCCAAAAATCTTTTTTTCTAAAAAATTATATACACATCGTCATTATATCAATGATTTTCGTCTTTATATGACTTAAAAAGGCATAATAACAATTTATGGTATTTTGTATTTAATGAAATGCCATAGCCATGACAGAGGTAGAAGTTAAAATTTGGTAAAATTGTAGATCTTATGACATTACAGGATGAAATTGTATAACTCTGACAGAATCAGAGGTCGGTGTGGTTTATTCCTCTTACCAATATGAATAGCTTTTTGAGTAATCATCTGCGAAATTGTACGGATCCATTCGGAAGCTTATTACCAATGGAATTGGTAGAAAAAAAAAGTAAATGTCACATGGCTTCTGCCAAAAAGGCTTACAATCCTGCTTGTTTCCTATTTTTACCTTCCAAATGTTCCTTGCGCCGTACTTTCCATACGGTTTTATTTTTTTTAAGGATGTACTATACACCACGCACGAAAAAATTTAATAGAAAAACCTATCGAATTCGTTAGAAAATTCTATTGAATTTCTATTAAACTTTCTATTAGTTTTTGGCTGATTCTATTGACATGTTCAATAGAAAACATTCAATAGAAAAAGTCAACAGAATTCGATTTTTCTATTGTAGAGACACGAAAAATTTATGACATTAAAAATTCATTTATTCATGATCTATTGAAAATACAGTAAAACGGATGCTTAACTTTATTCTTTGGAATACCATACGAAAAAATCCTACAGGAATTCCTATAGAAAATCTTATAGAAAAAATCCTATCCGAAATGTTCGAATTCTCCATAGGATTTTTTCGTACGTGATGTAACGAACATTTAAAAAAAAGCTAAAATCACATGAAAACTACGGCGCAAGGAGCACTTTGAAGATAAAAACAGGAAAAAATGAAGTTTTTCGTGGTTATCGGGGTAAAATCGATCGGATCCGCGAGTTCCCCCAGTTATTCCCAAATTCCGTCATATATCACAAACTGTTCAATGGTTCTCAAGACCCGGTGAAAACTTAAATTTCACCGATGTATCCCCTTAATGCTTTTCTATTCACAAAAGATTAGTGGATTATATCCTTTAAAAAGCTTAAGAACTGAAAATTGATCAACGAAAAAGTTTTCATTTACCTAGGAGGAGCATTATATTGCACCGAAGGCTGCCTTATGAGCTGAGTAATGCTCTCCTCAAAATCAAACGCCATCTTACACTCTTTCCACCTCAAAATATCTCTGAAAAGACGAAAAAAATCACAAGTTGTTTTCCCGGTGCATGAAAGTGCTGTTTAGTCAATAGCCTCAAAAATTCCCATAAATTCCCGTTGCCCCTGACAACGATTTCGAATGTTCCCGCGTTATTATGAACTTTGAGCCACCGCCGCATGCGGCAGTAGAGTTCGCGGAGTCCTGTGGGAGTCGCCTGTCATTTGTTTTTGTGCGCACAAATAATGAAACTTAATGGTTAAAAACAGTGAAAACAATCGAATTAATGGTCGAACAATATACAGAAAGATTTGCCGCAGTAATCATCTTTTTTTGTGTGATTATCGAGGGAACTCGGGGGACATTCCTGCTCCGAAATCAAATCTGATTAACCGGTGGATTTGACAAGTCGCGAGTGTTCAAATATTTTGATGCTCCGATAATTTCCAACGTTCATTCTCCCCATTCTTACCCTCGACGTTCGATAAGTTAATGATGTAAACACGAACAATCTTCGTGAGTTTTAGTCCCATTATTCATTTGATTATCACCGATATGAAGTGTTTAGTATCTGTTTGACCTCGAGCGCCCTCGAGAGCGACAGTGTTTAGATGTGGTCGACTGTTTATCAAAAGTTACTGAGAAAAACTCAACAAAACTGACTCAAACTGCCACATTACCACTATCAATTCTTTTTGGAAAACAATATAATATAAATTCTAATAGATAAGCTCTCATAATTATCTATTTTGGGAGAATCGACAGTGTCAACAAGGTCAAAAATTACGTTGAAACTCTGAAAAAACAAGGAAAAGGAGGGAAAAATTAAATAAGATCCCCTCGACAATTTTGAAATATAAATTTTTATTCAAAAACCAGAAATTATCGATGAAAAAGTCACCAAACACTTGAAAACTCTCCATATATCTGCAAACAATTGAAACAAACAGAATCTCATGTAGAAATTTCGAAATCATCTTCAAGGAAATTCTCTGAAATTGACGAAACTCGCCAAATTGTTTTCCAAAATCATCAAATAATCTTCTAATTGCGATGAAAAAATATTGGAAAAATTGTAGAAAAACCAAATGAAGGAAACGAAACCGTGAAATCATTTAAATCAACAACAGCTTTTGAAAAATTAGTGATTACCTAAACTGATCATATTGACTTCTAAACTCGAAAAATGTCAACCCCGAAGCCAAAAGAGCTCTTCCTAGCATCCTCTCTGCGTGACGGTCTGGAAGACAACAACATCAATCAAGTCACTACCCTCCTGGAGCACAAGGAAGCAGACCCCAACATCCTGCTCCCCATGCACGGCATCTCCCCCTTCCACCTAGTAATCGGTAATGTTGGAATATTCCAGTACAGCTCTTTTATTATTTTACAAAAACTACTCGACAAAAATTTATGACATACTGAGAAAACAATTTTAGAAACAGACTAATTTACGATCCGTTGTGCTTAGGGATGTAACTGACATAGCTGACCGGTCAATTTACCGTCATTTCACACGTAAATTACACGTCACTGACCGAAGCCCAATCACTGATCATTTTTGACCAGAAAAAAGGTGACAGAATTTTGCGTCACCAAAATTACCAAAAAAAATCTTGACGGTCATTTTACATCTAGATAGAGCGCGACAAATATCGTTCATCATTCTTCTTACCGTGTTATTTCAAAATTAGGCGCAAATTTTTAAATTTTATTAGCAGATAGCCTGTTTTAGGCACCATATGTTTGAGAGGGTTCTTCAATTATTTCTCAAATGAGAATGTTTACGGCATCATTTATCCAATGAAAAGGTTTATATGACTGGTTCTCTACATTGATAATAATACACTTTTAAAAATTTTTGTTTGAATTTTCAGTGCCAAATTCCGGTAATTTTATTCGTGTTCCAATTCCACTGAAATTTTAGGAAATCTTGTCATTGAAAATTAAGAATCCCTTGGAAAAATCAAACAGAACTGTAAATTTTCGTTCCATTTTTCCCTAAAAATGAATAGAAAACCAGAAAATTCTGGTAAAAATATTCTTTTATTTTCAGGAGTGATACTGAATGCGATTTAGAAGGAAAAAAACGTGAAATTTCCGATTTTTTTCACTGAAAATTCAATGCAATTTGACACTGAATATCCATATTAGATTAGAAATTCGAACAAATTAAGGAATTCTCGTCTTTATGCCCCTTAAAATTCTCGAATTTTACTAAATTTTCAGTGAAATCTGAAATTTCATGATTTTTTGCCCCTAAATCCCATCCAGTGTCATTGTCCTGAAAATTGGTAGTCAACTGTCCATAAAATTTCATTTTTTTTCTAACAGTGTAAATACGAAAAGTGCTCGTAGCACCTTTCTGATTTTTTGTTAACGAGATCAAAGGCGCGCTCCGCGCACCTGGTAATATGTTACATTTTGAATGATTCATCACGTTATTATTGTAAGTTGATTGGAATCAATATGTGCTTTCACGTATACGAATTGCTACAGTATTACTAAGGGGAAATTCGTGGGAAACGATGAAAACTTCTATTGAAAATCTATGGTTTTTTCTTATTGCAAAGGGATAGAAATTTCCATCGAGAATCCTTGCTGGGAGATACAGCGAAAGCTATGAAAATTTGCGTTAGAAAGCGAAGGATTTTCGATAGAAATCTATGGAAACTTCTATTAAAAGTCCTTAAAAAATTTGTTCAAATCCATGAAAACTTCAATTGAGACTTAATATATGCTCCGTTGGAAGTCACCAATACCAACATCATCTGCACAACCAGTAACATTATCAACAAAATCAGTATTATCATCATACATGCGATTTCTCTTTCAGAAAGGTAGAAATAAACGTGTGACATCTCCTTTTTATATGAGATTCCGTACTAAGTTAATATTCTTCTTCTGTTTGTTGCGGTTATATCCTCTCACTATTGTAGAGGCAAGCACCATCTAAGTTAATATTCACATTCTAAAAAAAGTCATATAGAAAAATTTAAAAAAATGATGGCGCATAAAAATGACGGTCAGATTACATTTAGATAGACAATTTTTTAGCATAAATGACAACGGGAAACAATTACTGACAATTGGATAAGCTGACCGGTCAGGTTGCATCACGAATGCGTCAAGTCACAAAAAAATGGTCAGAAGACGGTAAATTTACGGCTGACTTGACGCATGTAAAAAAATACCGCCATTTTGCATCCCTAGTTGTGCTCTGTACTGGAGAGCGGTTTAATCCTTAGCACATGCTGAAATTTGAAGGACTGTGTCCTCTTGAATCGTAAGACTTTATTATTTCGCTTTTCATTTTCCCAGTGAGAGTTTTCATTTGGTTATTGCCTTCAGTCTCAGGACAGCGGTCCTCTAGTACAGACGTAGTGCCTTCCTCGTACAAATAAAAAAATGTTAACCCTTCGTTCCTCGCGTCTACCGCACCGCGCCGGTGAAATTCGATTTTTTAGTATAACTTTCAACAAAAAACTTATTAAATAACATGAAAAAACTGTATGCCTCACTTATTTTATCTAAAAGCATATTCTGCCATTTCTAAGCACGGCCAAAGCCCCTGATTAGAGAAAATTCATTCCTATACTAACTGGAAATAAAAAATACCGCGCCGTACCGCGACGCGAGTGATCGTGTCATGGAAATATTTCACACGGCGTTGCCACACTTGTGGTTACGGGGGCTGCTGGAAGATCAGCAAATCCACTGTTCGAATGAATTGTGGCAACGGCGCGCTCAGATTTACATTACGGCGCGGCGCCGCGATGCGAGTAACACCCCAAAAAAGCGCTTCTAAATTAATCGACCGACCACTCGTGTTCTAATGCGTAATTCTTTTTTTGAACAATGAACTATGATCATGGAATGTCAAGTAAACAATTTCCAATCAATTTTAGGCATTGCAACTATTTATTATCAACAATTTAATTATTCAAATCGCCCTAGCGCCCAAACTATGAAAGATATACGCAAATTTTCGGATCACGAATCATTTAGAATTTGATAAGGAATAATTTTTTTTCTATTGTCAATTTCGCATATCTCCTTTCGATTTCGAGATATGAAAAAGGAAAAAATTGCGTAACCCAACACAGCGCTCTCAAGCCCACCGCGCGCCGCAGGTAGAGCGCTATGTCAGATCGCGTAACTAGTTCATTGCTCATATCTTGGAATCTACGAAAGAGACACTAAAATTGATAATAGATAAACATTATTCCTTATTAAATTCTAGATGATTCATGATTTGAAAATGTGCGTCTATACCTCATAGTTTGGGTACTAGGGCGATTCGAACGATTTAATTGTTAATAAGAAATAATTCCAATGCCTAAAATTAATTGGAAATTGTTTACTTGACGTTTAGTGATCATATTTTGTTGTTTAAAACAAGAATTACGCATTAGAAGGCGAGTGGTCGGTATGTCTGAAAATCGAGGGTGTCCCGCAGCGCTAGAAGGGTTAATAAAGTATCTCATTGATTTGACATTTATTTATTCACTTTCACCCATAGGTAACGAGTCAGAGACCTTCGCAGAGGACGTCACGCGTCTCTTCCTGCGTCACGGAGGAGATCCTAATGTCAGGTCGATCGATGGAATGACTCCAGTGCACGTTGCAGCCGCTTGGGGGAGGGTGAAGGTCTTGGAACTGCTCTTAGCCAATGGAGGTGACCCTTTGGCCCTCGACGACGAGGGTCGCAGCCCCTTCCACTACGCTTTTGACGGTTGCTACTACGAAGCTATTGCTTTGTTGGGGCAATATTACACAAAACGTCAGGAAGATGAGGACTCGAGCGTATCAGAAGGACCACCCATCCAGGTGAAGTTGGAGAAAATACTTGTGAACAGGGGAGATGTCGTTGCCGAATACGTCCCCTCGGAGATCGATTTAACTGAGGATTCGATGACCTCGAGCACGATTGGAGAGACAACAGGTGGGGGGACTACTTCAGAGGCTCGAGAGTCCTCAACCTCCCCTGAGGACCCACCATCCCTCCACAGTGACAACATAACACTCAGGAGACACCAAACTTGCAGAAGTAAAAACGTGTCTCCAATGATTGGTCAGAAGATATTGATGCTGGATAAAGAGAGGAGTGCTGCTGAGGAGAAGATTCTCATCGGAGAAATCATTCACAGACTCTCTGACTCGTTCAATAAAGCTGAGAAGGAGAACTTTAATTTGAAGGAGAAGGAGAGTGCCAAGAATGAGGGGAAGAAGAAGTTCTGCAGTCTTCTGCCGAAACCCAAGTACTTCAAGAAGGATCTGGAGACTCCGAAAAAGAAGGAGAGGGTTTTTCCAGCACATTTGGACAGTTCCATTATCAGCACTTCTCCTAATTTCCGGATCGGGGGGCTGGAGAGGGAGGAGACCACTCCCATTCAGGGGGAGGCTACGAAGTTCAAGAGTAATCACACCCCTAAGAATTTTAGGACTCCTTCGGTCAAGACGACTTCCGTTACTCCTCAAGTCAAAAGCGCTAGTTCAACTCCTAAGAAACAAACTCCAGTTCCGAGAGTGGCTCGAGTTGGGAAGAGAGTCAACGAAAAAATTGATAAAACTCCTCTCAATAAGACTTATAAGAAGAATGATATCTTGGAGTTCTCACCGGACGTTGAGAAGAATTTGAAAATGGTTAATAGGAGACTACTGTCCAGAGAATTTGCTAAGAAACTGGAGAAATCTTTTGACGATGAGGTTGAGGATAAGGTTGAGGATTTCAAGGGGAAGAATAACAATGAAATGAATAACGCAAAGTTCCTGAAGGTTCCTTCCGTCAATTATAATGTTGAGCTGGAGAATGTGATTCGAAATGAGGGAATTGATAAATTGTGCAATAGTCCTTTGAAAAAATTAAATGATAAGAATGACAAGAATGGGGTCAAATCGCCAGTGACAACTAGAAAGAAGAAAAAAGAGAGGAAAATTGAAGTTGAGGGAAAGAAATTTTTCTTTGAAAGCCCGGGGTCGTCAAACCCGAGGTCACTGACCTCATCGCCCAAGAGAGAGTCCACGGGTGAGGAGATAAGACTTTTGAACGAGATTGACGAGATTTATCGGAAGAAGGGGAGAACACCACTTGCTTCTGTATCGCGACTGATTAATGACTCGTTGGAGGAGGAGGGAAGTGCCAATTCGGGGGATATTTCGTCGACATTGGATGCGACGTTCTCTCCGGAGATGGAGAAATGTTTTGGAGGAGATTCTGAAGATCTAGCGAAAAATTTGGAAGACTTTGATGCCTTCAGAACACCATTAAGCTCCATGATGAGGTAAAAATATGATGACTTTATTATTTTTATTAGAACTGGAGAAATTGAATGCAGCAAAACTGTACTGAAAGGCAAGAATAGACTGAGAAAAATATTATACTGTGCATCAAGGGCGGAAAGTCATGTTTTCCCCGCCCGAGGTGCACATGCTATTTTTTAAGGATGTTTAGCCGGTGTCGGTAAATGTGTTTTTTTCTCATGGTCAAGGAAAATTCTGTAATTTTTTCGGCTGACAGCAGAATATATAAAATTAATTTTTCTAACGTAAAAAAAAATTAATCGCAGTAGTCTCGGCAGAAAGGAATAAACTAATTTTTCTTTATACACGGGCTCTTATGGAATTTATATTCAAATCGATAATTTACCTACTAGAAGACTCTAAAAATAGAAATCAAAATAGTAGGTAATGTGTAAACTCATACTGAATCCAATGCCCAGAGAAAAATATGGGGTACCCGGGCAAAAAGAAAAAATATTTGAATGATTCTATCTGATATAAGCGCATGTTAGCGCATGCATTTGGTGCATTTTGTCTATTTCATTTCTAAATAATAAACATGGGTTGGTGGACTGAAATTTGTATTAAAGTGAAGAAAATATCTTTATCTCTCAGTTTAAAAGAAAATATTTTTTTTAAGTACGTGCGATTTTGGATAAACATCCTTAACAGGCCTGCACACTGAGAAAAAAATTATTTTTGCCAAACATTCATTTACTTGAGAAGCATTTATTTTTTCAAAATCGTATTTTTCCTATTGAGTCATGCTCAGGTCATCCTGAATAGGTTTCAATTATGACAATCATGTTGCTCTAGAGGATGACTATGTTGCATTTGACCCTGGATGAACTCCCCTCAAAGATTATTTATTTTTCCTAAATTTCTTATTTTCTACAGGGAAGAATTTCGATGAATTTTTCAATGTTGATGATTATTGTCGGAGTGCACTCAAAGCGATAACGAACATGCTCATCTTCTGGAGCAATATAATTGTCATAATTGACTTGTAATGAGGATTGCCTGGGAATGACTCGACTGGAGAAATACGGTATTGAAAAAATGAATACTTCTCTCAAGTAAATGGATATTTGGCAAAAATAATTTTTTTCTCAGTGCACGATGCAGAATTAGCGATTACCAAAATCGTGGGAGAAGACTCCTAAGATTCATAATTTCCGTCTGATTTCCATACTCAGAGATCCCTAAAAATTAGAAATTTATACTTAACAACTAAAACTGTTTGACATAACACAGAAAACACTGTGTTATATCATTCCCAAGTACAAGAAACAGATTTTGTAAGTAGCTCCCATTTACTTACTTCTGAACAAACAATTGATAGTTTTTTACATTAAAAAAAAGAGCAAAAAAATCATTTATTTGCCATGTTACATGGGAGGTTTTCTACCTCCCTCCATCAAGTCGCCTTTCAACTTGAAAACTCTGCTCAACTAGCTATGGTCAGAGCTCACGGGGAGTTCGCTCAAGATCTAATGGGACGAGACTAGGAGAAGGATTTGATAGGTATATCTCACTCAAATAGTCGAACACAACCGATCTATTAATCAGAGATAGATATATTGAATGGATAATTGACGGTTAAGGCATAAAATCAATAGTCAATTGGCTTCAGTTTTCACGCGGGTCTACTATAGATTTTTGGCCAGGAGTGGACATCCGTCCAATTTCAGCCCCCGCCGTACTCTGCCTTTATCCAGAGTTTCAGTCATTGCTAATCGAAAATGCTAAATAAGCGCTCTCACGGTTTTTCATAACTAATATAGTCATATGTCATCATTGACAAAGCCAAGAGAGTCGAACAGCTTCATTCTGAGAAGTTGGACTCAGGTATCATCGTGAGATTACTTATCAAGCAGTTTGGACTTTTTCCGTACAAAAAATATTAATTAAACACAATCGACATGGTGAATATCTCCACACGTCACACCTATAATCACATGTCCTAATAATTTTTTCAACCAAAGTTCCAGATGTAGCGTTGATTCATTCTTCAGTGTTGATGAGGAGTACGCTTATCTCGATCCTGAGAAAAATGTCGCATTCCTCGAACGTCGATTACGCGTACTGCCACCTAGGTAATAAAAAAGACTTGCTAAAAACCATCGAACAAACATTGATCATCATTCTTATCACCTATTGATGAGATAAGTCAGTTAAAACTTCACCATTACCCTCGTTTCAGCAAAGCCGAGGACATGAACAACGTCGTAAATGAATCTACGTGGATCGACATGCTTGGTAAGTCCTACAAACCTACAATAAAAAACATCAAAGCCCAAAGAATTTTCTCTCAAAAGAAACATGCAAATTTACTTATCGCAGAACGTATGTCCCTGGGATCAACGTCGAGTGTTCCCACCTCCATCGGTCGCTGCAGTATAATATCAGTCGATCACCACTCCCTCAGATGTCGTTTGATAGCCCTTGGGGAAGCTCCTGGGCCAATAACCGATACAACTTTTAACGTTTACTTGAAACGTCTTCGAAAATTGGAAAAAACTGTCAAATCTACCCAAAAAGAATTGACCCCATGTGGTAATGAACTTCCAGCCCAGATTAACTACCCAAAAAATATCCCAAAAGAGCTTTTATCAACGGATTGGACAATAGACCATCAAAAGTACAAAGAGATTGAGCATGAAGCGTTCAAAGAGTATGCGAGACCTTCGGCAGGGAGAAATTATCGAGGAGGGGCTGCTAAAGTGTCTTTCAATTATCTCTTATTAGATCCTCGAGTTACTAATGATCTCCCAAGGACTGGAGGCTCTTTATCGATATCAGAACGTTGGAGAATTTTTCTGGAGGCGATATTTTACGTTGGGAAAGGAAAATCCGCGAGACCTGCTGCTCATCTTTATGAGGCATTTGATTTGTGGACTGGGAAAAAGAGGAATGATCAGCCTAGTGATAAGCTGAAGAGAATTATGGAGATCTGGAGGAGTGGGAAGGGAGTTGTTTCCCTACAGGTTTTTTCAAATTCAATGCAGGAGGAGGCCTTCACCAGGGAAGCTGCAATGATCGACGCTCTTGGCCCTAGTAATTTGAGTAATTGTTTGAGAGGGCAATATTACGGAATTGTTGCTACTAGGAACATGACGGAGAAGAAACTATTGGGAAAGTTTTTGCTGTATAATGCAATGCAGATTTTTATGCACGAGGGGGAACGACAGTTGTTCCCCAGGAATGTAGAATAAATTTATTTTCATGTAGGTACATCTATTTGGATATTTTTTGCACAGTAGATTAAATGACTTCAGATCTTGGAATTAGAAGATCCCCGATTGTGATTCAAGACGAGCTTTAAGGGAATTTGTGGGAGATAATTTTTCGAAAATGTAAATAGTTTGGAGAGTAAGGGAAACGTTAAGTCAATATCGAACTGTTATACTATTTAAAATGTACTGCATTTTATTGAATTTATTTTTACTTCAGATTTTGTAAATGATTCAAATGATTAGTGCAAACAATTATGAAGTACAAGATTGATTAATTGACGACTGATCTTAAGGACAATAAAGAATATTCATATATTTATGATTGATGATTTAAACATTGGCCCAGAGATTATTTTAAGAAATGTCCATCACATGACTTTAGTGTAAAAATTGTACACAAACTGATTTTTTTCAGTTTTTTAAATTTGGAATGTACATAACATGAAAATTTATTGTAAGTTTTCTTGTACTTCTTAAGATGTTCCATCCAAGGATCTCTTGATGAATTGACTTACACCTATTCACACCAAAGGTTATCGCCAAATATAATGAGTTTTGCTATTTTATTATTGAATTGTATGATCTGTACGTTGGTAACAAAGCTTTTCTGCTAATGAATGGATGGACTTGAATCTTTTTGTTTTCAAATGTGGGTATTATTGAGCCCTATCGATCACCATTAATTGAGATTTAATTCATTAATTTGTTTTGTTAATTTTCGAATTTTTTCGAAAATCGGTTGTCCCACGATAACTAAAAAAATGTTCTGAATTGATTGAATGATGGCTTAAAAAATTGTTTGGATGTCCTTCTGACCGAGTTCGAAAATGAAGACGATAGCAATAATCATTATTTTGATTAATTTGAAAATTTGCAAAAATTTCGTAGGGGGGAGTCGGACAAAATGAAACAGTCAAAAAAAACGACTGACTTGATTAAAGCAAAAAAAAATTGTTATTAAAAATTTTTTTCGTGTCACGGGACCTGAAAATTAATATACACACCTCGCCATGGAAAACATATCACCCTCCCCCACGTGCTTGCACGTAGGGGATGGTGATCTGTTTTTCAAGGCACGGGCATGTAATGTACTATTTCTATCAACTTTTTTTTATTCTTGGAAGTACTGATGAGAATAATGAGAATAATAATTTTCCATTCAGTAGAATGGAAACTTATTGAGAAGTTTTAACAGGCGAAGATTTTGTCAATGGATTAATTGAAAAAAATGAAGCAGCAAAATTCAAAGGCCAGAGCAAGGCCCAGGGGGAGCCTCAGAGGGGGAGAAAGGAAAATGTGATACTGAATTTCAATCGAATAATCTATTGACGAAATCTTCGCCCATGAAAACTTCTCAATAATTTTCTATTTTACTGAATGGAAAATTATTATTCTCATCAGTCCTTCCGAAAATGAAAAAAAGTTAATAAAAATTTTTTGTTTGCTTGAATTACGTCAAATAGTCGTTTTTTTGACTGTTTCATTTTACCCCACTCACCCCTATATTTCATATAATATATACTATATATACTATACAAATATATTTTTTTTATACTACAATCTTTTCAACAATTAAAAAAATTAATATAGTTCTGTATAAAATATATATATAGGATAGTATATATTTATATGGGGTATTCCATGTGAACTCACCCAGGTCAAAACCCTCACCATCGCCAATCATATTGCCGATTTTTCCTGTGGTTGTATCTGATAAAATTTAACTTCTCAAATTTTTTCAGACTTTTTGAGGCATCCTGTGGGCAGCCATGTTTTTTTGCAAGTTTTATCTTCAAATGCCTGTAACTTCCGTAAATATCAACCGATTTGAGTTTTTTTTTTACAAAATGTGCGTCTTCGACTACACTTTCTATATAAAAATATGCCAATTTTTTTCAATTCGTTCTTCCATCGATTTCCTCAGAAAAACCTCAAAAAACTTCAAAAAACGAGTCGTTTTCAAAGTTGGACCCTTTTTACATTTTTCAAAAAATTTCAGTGAATATATTGGACTAAAATAAAATTGTTCACCGAAGGCCAAAGTGGGATCTCCATTAGAACACACCACTCAGAAAGATTTATTGTTAACGAATTTTCAAAAAATCATCAAATTGTTCCTGGTTCGAATATAATGCAGTGATTCTTCAGGCGGTCAATTCAAATAATACTTCTGCGTTCAAATGCGAAAAGAATTTTGAAATTTTTGAAATTTCTCATCCCGGATTCGTTTATTCAAATTGGAAATGACGGCCACGAAATGGGAAGCCCACTTTGGCCTTTGGTGAAAAATTTTGTTTTGGTCCAATATATTCACTGAAATTTTTTGAAAAATATGAAAAGGGTCCAACTTTGAAAACGACTCGTTTTTTGAAGTTTTTTGAGGTTTTTCTGAGGAAATCGATGGAAGAACGAATTGAAAAAAATTGGCATATTTTTATATGGAAAGTGTGTTTGAAGACGCACATTTTGTAAAAAAAAACTCAAATCGGTTGATTTTTACGGAAGTTACAGGCATTTTAAGATAAAACTTGCAAAAAAATATGGCTGTCCACAGGATGCTTTGAAAAATCTGAAAAAATTTGAGGTCATATTTTTCCATATACAACTACAGGAAAAATCGGCATATGATTGGCGATGGTGAGGGTTTTGACCTGGGTGAGTTCACATGGAATACCCCATATAGTAGGGGAGGATAAGGTAAAACGGACACTTTTGACTTTTTTTGAAATATTCATGACGTGTTGAATTGTTCATGAAATGGAGTAATTTTATTTTTCAATTGAAAAACAATGATTCCTCTTTGTGATGAGCTTTGACTGAGCTCAATTGATAAATCTGTTTCTGAGTCATGAATATTTTGAAAAAAGTCAAGTGTCCATTTTACCCTACCCTCCCCTACATAATGCATCCCTAAAAAAACGTAAAAAGCAAAAGAGAATCAAAGAAGAAAATGAGGAGGATTATGACGATTCCGAATAAATTATTCAACAATTAACTTTTCGTTGTGAAAAACTTAGTTGAAACCATTCATTTTTCCTGCATTATTATTGAGATGAAAATCGAATCAATGAAAGTGGTAAACGGTACGGTTTTCCTATCCTGGCACCCGTGGAAAACAATACGCGCGGCCTGTTCTAGTAATCGAAAAGCAATTGTTTAAAACAAGAAAATTAATTGATCTTGGAATTGGTTAATTTCGAAATAAAATAATCTTATCACTGTTTATTCTCTTCACAACAAATTGCGTACAATTGCTCGCAATAAATCTCAATAGATGTCAGAAAATGTCTTAAATAACTCTCTCCATACCACTTCACAAATAAGGTCGATCAGGCTCAGTTTTCTTGGCTCTCTTGTCTCTCGGTCTGGGGAACCAGATGTGTTTAGTGGTGTACGTCTTCTTCGCCATCTCCTCGGCGATAACCACAACTTTCTTCGGAGGAGTCCACACCTTGTAAGCCTCCTCTTCCGTGATCTTCAGGACCGAGTGTGGGGCTGGTTTGACCTCAGGCAGAGGTTTTGAACATTCGTAAGGAAACTTTGGCTCCGGGTGCCAGCAGACTGCCATGTTATCCATGAAGAACACGAGCTCCTTGGGGTTACTGCTGTACTTGACCCTCGTACTGCAGAAAGTACGGAGTGATTGCAGTAACGAACTCTTGGGAAACATCTATAAACCGATAATAATCACGAAACAACAACAATCATCATTCCCTGATGCTTCGATAATTAAAAAATTGCGCTTTACCTTTGCAATTATTTTGGAGCAATTTCAGTAAACAATTGCCATATTCACACGTGTTCACTCAGCAGATAAAACAGTATTACCACGATTACCACTTCTAAAAGACGAATTTTCATGAGCTCGTGACATTGGCGACACTGCAGGCTTGACATTCAAGTCGCAAGTGTCGAGGAAGGAATCGTGAATTAACAAAAATGCCGAGTCAAGAGGTTGTTACAACAAAAGTTGTGGTCCACCCGCTGGTTTTACTCAGTGTTGTGGATCACTTCAATCGTATGGGAAAAATTGGCAATCAGAAACGTGTCGTTGGAGTTTTGCTCGGTTGCTGGAGGGCCAAAGGAGTCCTCGATGTGTCAAACAGTTTTGCAGGTTAGAATTCTTTCTTTCTGCTCGCTAAACATTAGCTGAAGTTAATTAGATAAATCTCGTTACATTATTCGTTGTTTAGAACGTGAAAATACAAGTGATGAGAAAAATAATGGGATTTTTTACTCTTGCTATTTTTAGTTCCCTTTGATGAGGATGACAAAGACAAATCCGTGTGGTTCCTCGATCATGATTACCTGGAGAACATGTTTGGGATGTTCAAGAAAGTCAACGGTAATTATTTGTATTTTATAGTGGAAAAGTGGCGAAGCTCAAGAAGTCCATTTTTACTCAGTTTTGAACAAGTGTTTACAAATATCTGGAAATGCCAAGAAGATCATCGACGTAGCCGAGAGGACGACCTTACGGAAAATGACAAAGATAAGACACCCCGACAACCCACTTCACAACCCCTCGAATGCCCCACTCTACGAACGCACCCAAATAGAACCCAGCACAGACAGACTAAAAAAATTGGAAACTTTTGCCCTTAATAAACTGAACCATATTCTAAATCTGTCACAAGCGCATTCCCACCGCCAAGATGCGATATAAGTACCCCCAGCAAGCCTTCCTAGAGAATCTTAAAGCTATTCGCATTCGTAGAAACATACGGAAACAATGGCTGGGGAGGTTTAGCCCGCCTCTGATAATATTGTCTTGGTCTTTGCATAAACAACAATAGTTCTTTCCTTTCTTTCTTCATTCTCATCAAACCCTTCAAATTGAAAACGTTTGTTCGCAACGTTTGACCATCTAAAATTGAGAATTAAATTTCGATTTTACGACCTCATTTTTAAATAATGTTTCCATGTGAAAATCGATAATAGAACAACGATATGCCATTTTATGCGAAAAACGTTTTTTACATCAACTGCTCCATTTAACCAAGTATTGAATCGATCAATCTGAAATTTTACACAGGCGTGCAACTCGAAGATACTAACTAGTACTCAACATTTTGGAACTCTATCACATCCTTCACTCATGTAATGGAACGTCAAAGCAACTTTCAGATAAAAAAAATAGAAAAACGCCAATATCTCGTAAACTTTGCAGCAATGGGTATACATGCTTTAAAAGAACTAGATGGGAGACATCAAAACGAATATTGTGAAGAAAAAAAAATTGAAATCGGATGAATAGTTTTTGACATATTGAACAATATAGTTTTATACAAAAAAAATCCTAGAGAATCTTCAAGCTATTCGCATAGAAACATACAGAAACGATGGTTGGGGAGGTTTAGCACGCCTCCAATAATAGGTCTTTGCATAAACAACAATAGTTGTCTACTTTCTTACTTCATTCTTATCAAACCCTTCAAATTGCTTTACTTGCATCCCATGTACTTTCCAATGTATAAGACATCTCTATTCACCTCTTTTTGTGTTTTGATCTCTATTGTACACGGTACACTATCATAACATTCAACTAAATATCTCTGTAAATACCAGGCTGAGGGCCTTCGGGCGATGGCCAGTCGCAAACCCGATGGAATTTTCGTGAAAGTAGTTTTTTTCAGGGGAAAATAACAACTACATAAAGCTATCCATACAAAATTTGCTGTTTCTAATGGTTTCAGAGATGTTGAGAATTTTTATTCAAATTGCCAGCCCTCAAAAAAATATTCAGTTTTTCTGCCAACTCAAACTAAAGTATCTCTTTCAGGCTGTTAAAGTTTTGATTTACCAACTAGAATTGATCACTCCGGAATGAAATAAATACTATGCACTGAATGAAGGCGTTAGCATGAGGTTGTATGGGGCTTGGAGTTAAAATTTTTGTTTTGTCTTTTCTCTCTCGTATACTCTTTTCGGGGTTTTACGATTAGTTCTCTTCCCACCCCTCAACCCCCTGTACCGCATTCGCAGAAGGACAGGGGAAAACCTCATTTGAGGGAAAAACCTGCCCAGGTACAGTCATCTCTTGCGAGACTCCCGCTCGACAATGAAACCGTGAGACGAGAATCGAACGCGGGTCTCTCGCATGCCAATCCCACATTCTAACCACATAGCCACCGCCGTCGGTGCTTAGAGTTTTAAATATCTACATTATTTATCTGGGCAACTCGGGTTTTTCCTTGGCCATTGGATTCAGTATGTTTTATCGCAGTGTCCTCCCCTTCTATTTTTATGTTTGAAGTTACAGTAGATGAATTCTTCGCTGAAAAAGGAACCGTATATAAAAAAAAATTGTTGAAACCATTTCGTCGAAATTATAGAAACCAATTTTTCTCAGTTATCAGAAATGTTAGTTTCATATTTTCCGCAGCTGTTTGGAAAATCACCGAATTTACCTTGAAATGACAAAATTTTATTTTTAGAAAATTGATGAATATTCTTGAGCCGAAACTTATCTTGAAATTATCATGACATTGAGTTTATCATCTATTTATTTTTTGATAGATGAGAATGAGAAATTCATCAATTTATGGTTTCGTTTTTAATCGAATTCAGCTAGGGAAAAGGTTGTTGGATGGTACCACACAGGTCCCAAACTCCACCAGAACGACGTAGCAATCAACGAATTAATCAGGAGATACTGTCCCAACTCCGTCCTGGTCATCATCGATGCCAAGCCGAAGGATCTAGGTCTTCCCACTGAGGCGTATCAGGCCGTTGAAGAAGTTCACGATGTAATTATTACTGTTGTCAACTACTATTCATAATTACAATTGAAAAATTCACATTTTCCTATTCTATATTGTACATTTCTTTGGAATAATGAGTGATAGAAGAATTTATCGGAAGAGTAAATTAATAAGTTATAAATTATAAATAACGATTTGAAATAATGTTTTCGCATTTGTAGAAATTTCTCATGAAGAAATTCCGGTTGATGAATTCCCGTAAATGTCCTGTCTTTCTAGATATTTGGGGCAAATTTGGAAATAGCCAATTTTATAATTTCATAATTGAAATGAGAGCTTTTAATAAGCTTGAATTTTTGGAACTTAATTAATTATTTCACGTTCTTAGGACGGCTCACCAACGTCTAAAACGTTTGAGCACATCCCAAGTGAGATTGGAGCTGAAGAAGCTGAGGAGGTTGGTGTTGAACACTTACTAAGAGACATCAAAGATACAACAGTTGGAACCCTCAGCCAAAGGATTACGAATCAATTACTGGGACTTAAAGGACTCCATGCTCAAATTAGAGAAATAAAGGACTATCTTATTCAGGTGAGTGAAAATGCAAATGATCATTCCTTTCCTCCACTTTTCGTAAATATTTTTAATCAAGTTTTCATTTATTTCGCCAATGGGTAATTCTTCAAGTGATTATCAGGTTATCGTTGTTATAAAAAAGTGAGAAAGGATAGGGCTGGAACAGCACTTCGTCTTTAAGATAAATAAAAAATTGAGAGACGAGCCGTTTCAATCAACTTATCTTAGTTAACTGTTTAGTCTTTTTCTCTTAAAATTGCAAATTCATGAGATGATAACTGTCGTGAATTGGTAAACTAGGATAAGTGCATTTTTTTCGAAAATGCGTTTTTTGGCCAAATCGCTTCCCAACAATGGTCTGCTACTACCCACGAAGGGATTTAGCGAAAAAACAAAAATTGACCCCAGTATGAAGAAAAAGTGCGAAAGATAAGTGCAGTGCATTAACTTGTTGGAAGATATATTGACTTATCTTCCGAAGTGGAACCGATGGGAAAAGGATAAGTTGACTTATCTTTCTGGTACATTGGTGACCCTCATGTCTGGTTTCCGCACCTAACCCTCGTAACCCTTCCTTTGACCCTTTCACCCAATTCCAGCGAACCTTAATTTTTACTCTCATTCCGGTTTCTTTGTTCAGACCCTTATCTAATTTTTCGATTTTACACCCGAGTGTTTGGATTTATAAAACCCCAGTGTTTGAATTTTAAGGGTCGTCTTTCAAGGGGTCACGTGACCAAATTCACTTTTACTATTTACAGCCAAAACAATTCCTTCATTTTAATAAAACCCAATTTCCGACCTGTAGTCATGACTCCCGTATGTCAGAAATTGGCTTTCATGAAAATCAGGGAATTATGTTGGCTGTAATTAGTAAAGGTGACTTGGGTCACGTGACCCTTGTGAAGACGGCCCTTAAATCTGGTTGAATGATAAATTTCAAACAGTTTCGGTTTTATTGGAAAAAAAAAATTATAGAAACAATGCAATTTTCTAGTTTTTAAAAATTATGGAATTGAACACAAACAAATATATCGAAACAAAATAGTTAAAAGGCAAGAGTACTGGATATTTGAACGCCGTAAGTCCACCATATTAAAAGGGTGTATGCGGGGCAAAATGGGTATTTCGGGAACTTGTAGGATTGAGTGGGGGTAAAATAGGTATTTCGGAAACTTGTACGATTGAATGGGGGCAAAATGGAGTTTTCGGGAACTTGTACGATTCAATAGGGTCTTAATCGGTAGTTATTAACCTTATATGATTCAATGGGGGCAGAATGGGTATTTTCTGAACTCATACGAATCAATTGGAAGAAAATGGGTATTTCTTGAATTTGTACTTTCGCATAGAGGGCAAAAATTATATGATAATTATTTTGAATAATTGTGTCAATTTATGAACATGACTGCCTCTCGAGTTATAAAATTATTCTTTTATGAATCACGTGCTCTCAAAACTAAGCTATCCGGCTAGTAGCCATATTCTCCTCAGGGTTGGGCACGTAAAATACGTCAAGTAAAATACCTAGTATTTTACACGTATTATACCATGTATTTTACGTCACTTTTTTTTAGATGTATAAAACGTAAAGTAAAATACGTTTTATACGTCACGTATTATACCATCTATTTGACATCAATTTTTACAATTATAAGAGTGAAAATAATGGACTTACGTCAAACGTCTCGAGGCTTACGAGGGCTACAAGGGAAAAATTTAATTTCTTGAGGGTCAATTGTCACGAGAGCCACGTGGGTAAAATTTAATTTCTTGAGGGTCAAACGTCACGAGGCTCACAAGGGCCATAAGGAGAACATTGAATTTCACGAGGGTTCCAAGGGGAAAATTAAATTTCACAAGGGTCAAGGAACATTATATTTCACGAGGAACAAATGTCACGAGGTTTACGAGGGCCACAAGGGAAAAATTGAGTTTCACGAGAATGAAACGTCACAAGGCTCGCAAGGGGAACATTAAATTCACGAAGATCAAATGTCATGAGGCTCACGAAGCCCACAAGGCGAAAATTGAATTTCATGAGAATCAAACATCACCAGGCTCATGAGGGCCACGAGGGGAAAATTAAATTTCACGAGGGCCAAACATCACGAAGCTCACGAAGCTCACGACTCTCACGAGGGCCACGAGGGGAAAATTAATTTTCACTGTATCAAACGTCACGAGACTCACGAGGGGAAAATTAAATTTCAAACGCCTCGTCCCACTCGTATCGAAATATACTATTTTTCCTCCTGGCCTTCGTAAGCCTCGTGACCTTTGATCCTGCTGGGTGCCCTCAAAATTTCTAACATGTAAAAAACTGTATACTATATTTTATACATTTTTTACGTATTATAGTTATTTGCATTCGTCGCAGACTTTCAAGTTTTACTTCCCCCCCCCCCCTCCTTGATAGGGACAAAGACAAGAAATCTGCAATGAAGGAGAAAATTATTTTCTCCTTCAGTGTGGCCCTCGTGAGCCTCGTGACGTTTGCTCCTCGTGAAATATAATGTTCCCCTCATGACCCTCGTGAAATTTAATTTTCCCCTTGGAACCCTCGTGAAATTCAATTTTCTCTTTGTGGCCCTTAATTAAATGACTTTTGGTATATGATGCCACACCTGAGAAATTGAGAACAAATCGGGCCCAACCCATTTGTCCCCATACATTGAACGAGGCCCTTCTTTTTCGTGTATTTGGTTTCCGTTTGAGGTTTCCGTTTAACGTATGAGGCATAACGGGTTGGGGCCGATTTCTTTCTAGTTTTTCAGGTGTGCCATTAATGATGGCCCATCATATATCAAGAGCCGTTCAATAGCTATTTTCATCCATTGCAGATTTCCAAGTTTAACTTGGGTCCCCCTCTCCCCCTAAATAAGGTGTAAAGTCCCAAAATATCAATTTTGTCCCGATTCAATGATGCATGTTCAGGAAAGAGCCATTTTACTCCCATTCAATCCTACAATTTTTCCAAATACCCATTTTGCTCCTATTCAATCCTACAAGTTGCCGAAAGACCCATTTTGCTCCTATTCGATCGTACAAGCTCAAGAAATATCTATTTCGCCCCTATTAAATCTCACAAGTCTAAAAAATACCCATTTTGCCCCCTTCCAATCGTATAAATTCTGGAAATACCCATTTTGCCTCTATGAAATATTAGAACTTCACAAAATACCCACATTGCCCCCATTCAACTGTGCAAGTTCTCGAAACACCCATTTTGCCCTCATTCAATCGTACGAATTCTCGAAATACCCACTTTACCCCTATTAAATAATGTAAGTTCAGGAAATACCGATTTTTTCCCTATTGTATCGTATAAGTTCAGGACATATCCATTTTGCCCCCAGTCAATCGTACATGTTCCCGCAATAATCACTTTGCCGCCATTGAATCGTGTAAGCTCAAGAAAACCCCATTTTGCCCCCACCGAGTTCCCCCACAAACTGAATTTTTTTGTTTAAAAAATAAGCCCTTGAGTAGTTTTCATCGTCCAACCAAGACCACAGTTCGAGATGAAACATGGAGAAATAGAATAAACATGATCCATGTATTTGGGGACATATTGTTTACTTCTGTTCCATAGGGTCATAAGAATACAATGAACTTCTTTTGCGTTTTGTTCAAAGAATCGGTCAATTGACTATCATCGTTACTTAGTGCACCAGGAGATAAGTCAACATATATCCAGTTGATTGAGTCATCGAAAAAGATAAGTTGACTTATCTTTCCCGAAAATCTAGTCACTAAGGATAAGTGCAGAATTTTTACTCAAATTGCATCCTGCGTGCGTGATACTGGTACCTAAAAAAAAGACCCAATAAAAAGGGAAAAATGTAGCGCCAATACCCTCGAAACCCTATTCACAAAGGCAGCAACAGTTTTTCAGCTCTCCTGTAAAATTTGTTTTTTTGCACTTATCCTAGTTTACCAATTCACGACAGATAAGATAATTACCTTATGGGCGATACTTGAATAAATATTGTACCTCTATAAATTACGTCAGTAATTAACGAAAAATATCGAACGCTATTTTTCCTGACAAAATCTATCAATACAAAAAACTATTTTGATGTTTTACCCGGAAATCACGAATCCTTGAAATAAGTGCATAAGAACTGAAGATTTCATCTTTGAAACTCAGAAATGACTGATATTCCCTTAATGATCAATTTCCTCATTGTTTATTACAGGTTGGCAATGGAAAACTTCCAATAAATCACCAAATCGTATATCAACTCCAAGACATCTTCAACCTTCTCCCCGACATGTCTCAACACACCTTCGTAGACTCTCTGTACGTAAAAACAAACGATCAAATGCTTGTTGTTTACCTGGCAGCACTGGTAAGATCAATAATTGCCCTGCACAACTTGATCAACAACAAACTGACGAATCGTGATGCTGAGAAAAAGGAAACCGATAAAAAGGAGACGAAGAAAGAGGAGAAAAAGGAAGAAAAGGAGGAGAAGAAAGATGAGAAGGAGAAGTCGAAGGCAAAGTGATCGCATCAGTCTCAACCAGAAAAGAGGAAACTGTAAGGGAAAGATGTTAATAAGACTATTTTATCCAATTTGTTGTGTGAACTGGACAGTGAAAACCACTTTTTGGATCTGTACAGACATTAATTTCATTTTTTACTACACAGAAAAAACCCTAAGCTGTACATTTCCGAATGTTCTTCAATTAATTTAAAAACTGGAAAAAACCAAAATCAATAAAAAAAAACTTCTACTTATTTTTTGCGTAATGAAATAATTCAGCTCGACCGCAATTTCTCTTGTATCTAACATCTCATTACGTTCTTTTCTTCAATGAAGAAAATTTAACAATAGGTATTGTATTTTTTAAGCGAATACTCTATTTTGAGAGTACAAACTGCATTAATTAATTATAAAACTGATCAAATTAATAAAATTCTTATTCTACATTATTTATTAGTAACGTATGACGTATATATCAATCGCATGGAAAAAAACAGGCATTGCGTCTTTGGGATTGCGCTTTACATTGAGGATAATCAATAATTCTATCATACAGTGAAGGGAATTGAGTTGAAAATTGATGATTATTTTATTCTGTAAATATCACGGACACTCTTGAGTTCAGAGGCAATTTGGGAAAGTTCATTTGTAGTTCTCGAAATTTTCTATTCAAAATGTCCTGTGAAATTTAATCCTAAAATTAGTCAATTTCTAGACATTTTTATAGAATCTATTGAAATATATTCTCAAATATTTATCCATTAACAGGAGACCGCGGTGAAATCTAAAAATTGCAGGGGGTTGTCACTATCATGCAGATGGCTTTCCTATTTTTTATACTCAAAAAATTAGACAAAATCAAGTTGCAATTTTTCTAAGGACTTCTTGCGACTGTACACGCATAAAATCTTTCGAATAGTTCCCTTACTAGGATTTTTGATGAATTGGCTTGAATTTTGGTTTTCACGCACACAATGTATTGACGAAACAAAATATATGTTTTGTTTTAATTCCAATTTTTCAATTTTTTTTTTTCAGAATTGGCATGGACAATCTTACTTTAGTATGGTGTAAATTGAAAGCTATAATTGAACGCTATAATCCATTCGGAAGCAAAAATACTATTTTTCGTCACAATGGTGAAAAAAATTTCTTTCGACATAGTGACGAAGAATATTTTTTTAGCTTGCGCAGTGTGTGTGCAACGAGGCTTCACGAACTGAGTGAATAAATGTGGTTTTCGGGCCTAATGACTAAAAAAATGTTCGACACACGGCCGCGGCAACTTTTCTACCTCATATGATTACAGAACTCGCCGTGGACTCGTCCTGTAACCTCATATTCGCCAGAAAAGTTCCTCATGGCCTAGTGTCGAAATGTACTATTATTGGTGTGTTATAGCCTTCAATTTTCATCATAATGCAATATTATTGTCTGTACCGATCCGGAACAAAAAAAACGGAAAATTCCAATTTTCAAAAAAGCGCACATATTTCTTTCATCATTATTTTATGTATGTGGTAATCAAAATTCAAGTCAATTCATCAAAAATCCTGGTAAGGGGACTATTACACAGCCACATGCCATCCTTAAAAAAGTGAACTCGATTTTCTTTTCATTTTTTTGAGTATAAAAAATGAGTAGTGAAATCATCAGTATCACAGGAACAATTCCCTACAACTTTCAAATTTCGTCGTGGTCTCCCTTTAAATGAGCAGTTATTTGAGAAAATCGGAGAAGGCATTTTCTAATGCTCAAAGTTGAAGAAAAATTCTCTTGGCAAATTCATTCCGAAGATATCAACAAAATATGAATAACTGTCTCTCTTAAATCGATTAATTCAGTGGCGAAGGAATGGAACGAAAGAACTCAATTTCTCACATCTCGTTGAATATACAATTACTAAAATAACGAGTGATTTTCAAGGAAAAATCTCGAAAATCTCGGAATCCAGAATTACTGAAACCCTTACAGAATTCCCGTAATCTCCAAAAAATGGGCTTTCCCATTAAAAATATTTTATTCGCAATTTCTGATCACCTTGCACTCCCCACTGTCATCATTCTTCAATCAAGCATCACATAAAAACTCTCACAAACACAAAAAATCCTCCCACAATCAAAGCCACCGAAACAGCTTTACTATCTCCATTACTTCCACTGTAAGCAACCCCAACAAACGGTTCTAAATTGCTCTCGTTATAATTCTGGAAATACCAATTGAAGGGATCATCCTGTCCATTAACACTGTCCTTCACCGTCTCCCACTCCCCCTCTCCTCGTTCGATCTCCACCTCGCTCATCATCGAAGTCTCATCCGATTTATTCTTCCCAGCTCGGCTCTGGTTCCCCAAATGTGGCGAAGTAACTTTCTCAATGGTTGACCTCCCCAAGGTCCTCGCAATGATCTGAGGAGTCGACCCCACCTGTCCCCCAGGTACCAGGAACGCTGACAAAGCTGAGGCCTCCATCCCCTTGCTGCTCTGCCCCAACAGCCTCTCTCTCTCATTGACAATCGTAACTGTCTCCTCATCAGAATGTTCAGTCGTTACGTAAATCACTGGCTCCTCTGGGCCCATTGGGGACGTTCCCTCAGGCTTGATCAATGAAGTATGATCCTCAAGCTCGAATAAATGATTTTTACTTCTGGTCTGATAGATTCCCTCGGTAGCAGCATTATTCAGAAGACTTTCTGAAGTGTCACTAGCTTTTGGAGTCGTCCAAACAATTTTACTAGCCAATTGTCCCTCCACGAACGTCGACTCCTCTGAATCCACGTCCAGCTTCTCACCGTTGTAGACTTCAGTGGAGATTGAGATTGATTTATTGGAGGAATTTTGAGACAAGTCCGGGGGAATTGTGAAGTTCATAGGGATCGTTGAGCTGGGGATTTTTATCACTTCCGGGGCACTCGGGGATGTTGGTGAGTCTGAAGTTACTCTCAATGTTGTGGTCTCTTCATGACTGGTTTTGTGAGATCTGGAAGAAGATGATAAGGATAATGAAGATGGTGATGTCAATTCAGAAGGTTTAGGCGTCTTTTTTCTTCCTGGAGGTTGAAACACTCGAGTTACTGTGGCCGTTCTGTTTACACTCTTTATCGTTTCGTTCCTCATGTCCCTCCGTTTTGAGTTTTCTAGAGTAAATCTTGGGTCTACGATGGGCACGAAGCCCCCTTCAGGCTGGGGGAGAGGGTAGAATCCTCCCTTTTGTATTTCTGGTTCTGATGGAGGGAAGGTTCGGTATCTTCCTCGAGAGGGACGACCGTCCTCTTTCCTCTGGGACTTTTTGCTGGAGTTTCCCCAGAGGTTGAAGCTTAGATTCGGGAGGGGAACTCCGAAGAAGGTGAAGCCTGAACTGCTGGGAGAGGGGGGAATTGGTGGATTTTTCTTCTTCGGGGGAGTTTGCTTGAAGGAATTGGGAGAGGAGGAAGGGCGAGTGAAGGAGACTGGACCTGTCTGGGTGTGGGCAGTGAGGGTGTTGGGTGAGGAGGTCGACGACTTGGTGATGTCCTCGCTCGTGGCTTGATCCGTTATGTTGTCGAGGGGGTAGTTTGGATAGTCATCGTACATGTAGTCTTCTGGGGTGTGGGAGAATTTCGATGGGCCGTGAAGGTTCATCCAAGGGGAAGTTGGCGGATTCTCACCGAAGACTGAAACATGCAGTGATTCTTAGAAAAAGGAATTGCTTAGATTAGGTTTTATGTCAGATCGTAGAAACTGACATAAAACCTAATCTAACCTGATCGAACAAATGCGATTTAGTAAACTAATCACAGTATATTTGCAAAACATTAGAAATATGTAGAAAAGTAAAGATAGAAGTGATCCGGTGTGAATTTCGTAACCGATTGTGCGTTTGAGGTGTCTGTGGATTCGCAAGACAATCGAATTCCGTAAACGGAATAAGTTAGAAAGATACGCGTGACACGATGAGTGCAAGTGAGATGGGGCGAGGAGTTTCGTGCTCCTGTCAATCATTTTCTCTCGGCGACGCAAAATATCGTACGAAATCTGGCCTCAAAATTTTCAATCATTTTTATTTTTGGTTCTTCTCAATACTTAGGTTCTTCTCAATATATAGAAATGAGGATTCCTCGCCTAGCAGAGATCGCGCGGCTTAATTCAGTAGCGAAGCGGTAAACGGATTCAAGTCGATTTAGCTCATCGCTGAGCTTTTGAGCAATATCTCCGAATCTAAGCGAAACAGCGCAATTTTTATCATAACCATTATTGTAGCTCTCAATTCGCTTTCAATTCGTTTGTTTGAAACACAACTAAAATTCCACAACATTCTGGTCGACCATCGGCCTACTTCGAAAATCTTCGGGACCCTTCGGGTCATCAGTCATAAGTGACCGAAACGCGCGAATCAGTTTAGACTTAGCCTCTCACCGTACAAGTCTAACTCGGGTAAATCACCTGTAGAAGTCTTACATCGCACCTCACCGAGTACAGTAGCTTCTTAAACCTCACCTAGCTTACTAGTAACCAAGTACATCACCGGTATTTGTAAGATCAAAGTTTCGTTCAGTACATCACTTCAGTTTTATCCGTCTAAATTCAACTATTATCAGTGATTCAACTTTATTAAAATTGAAGACTATCAACAGTGACAATTTACCAAAGCGTGTATAAAATATTAATGACGTGGTTCGATCCCACGAATAAATTGTGATATTTTTATAATCAGTGCCATCATTAATTTTCCAGTATCTCCCTCCACATTTTTCTCCCACATCCACCCTAAACCTAGTTCCTCACCAAACAAGGTCATTACAAAAAATTTGCTATCTCTCTTAGGTGCCGAGATATTTATTAAAAACTGAACAATAGTCTAAATCGACGTAGACCTGTTTACTGCTTTGCTACTGAATTAAAGGCGCTCCGCGTGATTAAGCGTTTAGACTCTAAATTCTCCGCTCTTATTTAATGTGTTAAAAATGCTGAAAAAATTCAAAACAGGTTTTGATCGGAAATTTTCGGAATTTTTAAAAAATTGTGTCATTTTGTTCTCTTACTTCAACTTCATGGTGAAAATCGAAAAATAAAACTTGAAACGTTGATTTGAATCGGTTTCCCACTTTTTCTCCTAAATCTGATACTTTTTTTCGAAAAATTCCGAAAACTGATTGAAATGATTTCTAAGAAATGTGTACTCGTGTGCTGCACAACCGGAAAGAAAATGAAAAACAAAAAGTTAATGCTGCGAAAATTGATTTTACATAGTTTGATCTTATAATTACAATTTTCATTAATTACATAGTTATTTTTATTGTCGAAACGTACTTTCTTATTTCTTATTCACATCATAATACACAAAAACCGTGAGGAATCAATTTTCGAAAGATTCATTTTTTGTTTTTCATTTCTGTGTCGGCTCTGCGGCATATGAGCGCATATTTTTCAAAGATGATTTCGATTGGAAATTTTCTGAATTCTAAAGTTTTATTTTTCGATTTTCACCGTGAAGTTGAAGTGGAGGAACAAAATGATCATTTTTTTTAATTCAGAAAATTTCCGATCAAAAACTATGTTTTGAATTTTTTTTCTAAACATTTTTCAACACGTTAAATAAGAGCGCAGAATTTCGAGTCTGAAACATTTAATCACGCGAAGCGCCTCTAAGCCACGGGATCTCCGCTAGCCGATGAATCTTCTTTTTTATACATAAATATCGAGAACAACCAAAAAAAAATTGGCGAAAATTTTGAGGCCCGATTTCGTACGATATTTGGCGCAATGGGCCATATGAACTGAGTCGCTAGAAGATTACATTTTTATACGACAAAAGGTTTTGAGACATTCGCCTCCTGAATGTGCGGCTTCTGGGAAGATTTCAGAATTGATAAGATGGAATTACTTCACAGATTATGTCTTACTACTTCAATATGAATTCTGTAGTTATTCTAGTAGAAGGCCTACATTTTTTACTACTTTGTCAATGGATTCCATTGGTTTGGGATTGAAAAATTGATTCATTTAATGAAATAGGCATTAACGAGTATTTTTTTTTTCTATATGTTCCACTTGAGCAGAGGAGTAATGAAGTTCCCATCTACATTATCTGTAATTCAATTGATTTCGCAATAATTTCATTGATTGAAGGTAGACTTACGAGAAGAACCGGCAGTTTGATCGATCATTTCAGCCTCACATCCAGGATGCACCGACTCTACTTGCTTTCTCGAGAGGCAATCCTGTCGGCTGAGTCGCATTTCTCTGAATAAACTGCCGTCAGCACACTTGGGGCCCTCTGAGGAACCCTGCTGCAGCCACCCTCTCAGCCAAATCATTCCACAGGAACAGGCGAGTGGATTTCCATCGATATCCAACACCGCGATATTTGATCTCAATCGTTTAAATGCACCCTCAGGAATTGACGTCATTCGATTCTTCCTCATACTGATGACTCGTAAACGAGACATGTTGTCAAAAGGAACACCTTGGATGCCACAGATGCGATTTTGATCCATCTAAGTTATTCATGAATAAAATTAACTTATTAATCATTTGATCACTTGAACCCTTGATCCATTTTTCATTCTTTGGAACATTAGGCAGTTAGATGGAGGAAATGAATATCTTCAGCTGTTGGGTGCGAATGTCCAGAACAATCAATCAGTCAATGTAAGAGCACCTATGGAGCAACGAAATTTTTTTATCGTGATAACATTTATTTTCGTTGCTATGTGGAGCTATTTGATATCGATCGACCTCAAATGCTTTGTTAATTTGAGAATTGTGGGCTTCACTCTGCCTTTTCAATTCTATTTCCACATCCAGTCCGTTCGGCCTTTCATGCGTTTCTGAGGGGGCATTCAAATATGACATGACATGATCAAGTTGCTAGACTGTGATGTCTCGCAATATTTTTTTGTTTTTAAACTGCAATTTTGTAAATGCACTTTTGGTCTCTTCCCCTTTTCTCACCCAAAAAGAGAGGCTTCACAGATTCTTCAAACTATCCTAAAGATTCACAAAGGGGAATCCCTGAATGCTGTGATTTATTTTCTTACATTCAGTAGCGAAGTGGTAAAACGGTACAAGTCAATTTTTACTAGTTACCAGTTTTCAATGAATATCCCGGAATCTGAGGGAGATAGCAAAATTTATGTTATAACCTTTTTTTGTAGAGCCGATTGAGTATTACAACAAGTGTAATTACGAAAATTCCGCTATCTCCCTTAGATTCGGAAATATTCCTTAAAAACTCAACTGGGAGATAAGTCGACTTAAATCGGTTTACCACTTCGCTACTGAATTCAAATTCATTTCTATGAAGCGGACACCTGGGGAAATTTGAAAGCCTTCGGTTGATGGAAATAACTATCGAGCGACTTTTGATACATCATGGGGTACCTACAAAACTAAGAAAAATTTTGTACCCAATCCATTATTAGCCCAAAAGTAAAAAAACGAGTAAACCGAAAAAAATAATATTTTTTATGATTTAATTGAGATAATCGGAAAAAAAATAGTTTTATTCTATAGAATCTAACGAGCATAAAAAAAAGTTTGAATCGGATGAAAATTGTGGTGCGAGGAGTATTTTAAAGCCAAAATACGAAAAATTACGTTTTCAAATGACGTGCGCGGCGCCGTTTTTCCGTCTGTTCAACGTTTCTTTTTTTTAGCTAAACACATTTCCCGAGAAAAAACGGACAACGCCAACGTTTAATAAAAGGATTGAACCTTGAACTCTATTTTTTTCAGAATTTTTAAGCGTCGAGAAAGACGCGAAAATATATTTAAACAAAAAAACGAAAACGGGCGGCGCCGTGCTTATTGAGCGAGTTATCGAAGGTTAATCCTAGATTGGTCACCCTATGAGGGAGACCCCTAATCGGAAAAATTAAAAAAAAATTAACTTTGTCAATTGAAGTGTCTAAAAAATTATTTAGAACAACATATTATTATAATTAGTTTTTAGAACAACATATTTCCTAAAATTTCTAAAGAAAAATTATTTCGAACAAATGAGTTTTTTTTCCCATGTTAAATGAAATTTCCCATGATGCGACGTTGCCGAAAGCTCGCTAAACGCACCCGGGCAGTGTAGAGTAAATTCGACAACGCTAAAGCCTAAATAACACGACGGCGAATCCCCGCGGAGGTGACCAAGTCGCAGGGTCGCATTTGGTGACCAGACTAGGGTTAAGAAACTAAAGAATTCTTCATAACAGGGGGGGTCCGTGTTTCTGACGACTTCTGATTAACGGGGGGGTCTAAAAAGTAAAAAATATGTGTGACGTAAGAATTGAATGGCCTTATCGGTCTCTTTTTACAGTCTCTTTCTCCGTGACTGGCCATCATTTAGTGTTCTCACCCAATGCAGCTTTCCATAACTGTAGTCTGGATGATTTGACAGTGCGCTAACTCAGGACTTCGCTTTGTGTGCTTATCACATACATTGCATGGAGAGAAATATTCAATAAAAATTACGGAATAATTCACGTAATCTGCAATGCGGAATCGTTTTCCGGCAATTTTTACAGGAATGGAAGAGAAGAAATCTGAAATCGTCAGTGATTTCTCAGGTTCATCACCGAACAAAGTACTAAATTGTCACGTCATTTTTCCCGAAAAGGTAAAATCTCACAGAAATTTCCCGACTTATTGTGTCTCCAAAATCTAAAATTCTTGATCGTTCAACAATTTTTATGAAGCTGGTGAGCTATTTCTACGTTCCGTTCCGTAAAATTCCTCAATTGTCTTGAAAAAATTCCTAGAGCTGCGGGACACCCTCGATTTTCAGACATGTACTGACCACTCGCATTCTAATGCGTAATTCGTATTTTAAACAATAAAATATTATCACTAAACGTCAAGTAAACAATTTTCAATTAATGTTAGGCATTGGAATGATTGATTATCAATAATTAAATTGTTCAAATCGCCCTAGCACCCAAACTATGAAGTATAGACGAAAATTTTCAAATCATGAATCATCTAGAATTTAATAAAGAATCATTTTTGTCTATTATCAATTTTACCTATCTCTCGTAGATTCTGAGATATGAGCAACAAACTAGTTACGCGACCCGACACAGCGCTCTGTACTTGCGGTGCGCGGTGGGCTTGAGAGGGCTGTGTTGGGTCACGCAACTCTTTTCTTGTTCATATTTCGAAATCTAAAGGAGATATGTGAAACTGATAAAAAACAAACATTCCTGATCAAATTCTAAATGATTCGTGATTCGAAAATTTTCGTATATCTTTCATAGTTTGGGCGCTAGGGTGATTTGAACAATTAAATTGTTGATAATAAACAATTGCTATGCCCAAAATTGATTGGAAATTATTTACTTGACGTTCTGTGATCATAGTTCATTGTTCAAAAAAAGAATTACGCATTAGAACGCGAGTGGTCAGTCGGTCAATTTAGAAGCGCTTTTTGGCGGTGTCTCGCAGCTTTATACGGAACGACTTGTTGTCCCCACTGCGGTGAGTCATCAGACGGGTGGTTAATATTGACGGAATAAATCGTAAAATCTACGTGGCGATTCGAACAATTTCAGTTCCAGCTCACACTTTTTATTGAATTTTACTTCGCTTGCGGATTACGTTTCTAAACGTAATTTTTACGTTTTTTCTGGTAATTTTTATTGAATTTTGCTCTCCGTGTGATAGAATGATGTCATCCCTCCCTTACGGCCGGAATGCACGGAGAGAAATATTCAATAAAAATTACGTATCTTTTCCGTAATTCCGGAGCGAAATATGGTTGTAGGAAATTTTACGGAACTGTCACGGGATTTTTCCAAAGCGTTCCGTAATTTTTATCTGAATCTCCTGTGAAAAATTCTGATACCGTCACTGAAATTTTCTGAGTCGATTCCGTAATCGGTGAGCGAATTGTGAGTTCCGTAATTTTTACTGAATTTTTCTCTCCGTGTGACAAAAAATATCATTCGATACACGGACGTGCAGAACTGTTCTGCCTTATTTTGTCTTCTGAATGGAAGCATTGAAATCGTTTTATTTATAAATTTTCTAGTTTTGCTTGGAAATCATGTACAATGGTCTGAAATGTAAAAATACGAAGTTTGACAGCCGCGTGTGTATGTGAGAGTGTCTACCTGGTGATCAACTTTCCGAAAATCAAGGAATTAACGGTTTTTTCGCACTCGATATATTGGCTGCTAGTTTTGGATTGTGTTAGTTATTACTTGACATCACCGCAGAATGGCCTATGGAAGGAGTTTTCTTTGATAAAGAATTAAAGGGCAAAAATAATTCCAAAAAACTGAACCGATGACAGTGACTGTGTGATTAGAGTATGGGATTGGCATGCAGGGGATTTGGGTTCGCTTCCTGGCTTGGGCGCCAAATTTGTTACACTCTCCATCTCACAGTTTCATTGTCGAGCGGGAGTCTCTTAAGAGATGACTGTAAAAACCCGAGAGGGTATACAAAAAAGTAATAATTTTTTCGTGATTCCGACCGTAAGGCAGCGATTTACGAACGAGTAGAAAATACCATTCCCGTCCCGGCGGGCGCAAAGTTAAATTCCCTCCCGCTTCGCGGGAGGGAACTCTGACTTTGCGCCTACGTCGAGACGGAAAATCGCGTTCTAACCACGGGAAGTAAAATAAAGGACCCTCAGCCGCGTGCTTACCAACCTCGCCTTCGGCTCGGCTGGTAATTGCACTGGCGGCTGAGGATCCTTTATTTTCCCTCCCTAGGTTAGAAATATACTATCGTCATTAGGCCTAAAAAAAACTCTTCACACACCTGCACGGAAAGTTCGTACTTTCCTCCCGCTCATCAAAGAGCAAAATACGAACGTTCCTTTGCAGGCGTGTTAAAAAAGAGCATGTGCACCTCGGACGGGAAGACATGACTTTCCGCCCTTGATGCACAATATACTATTCTAGCTCATATGATTGCAACCCTCGCCTTCGGGGCGGGCTGTAAATTGATATTCGCCAGGACCTTCAAAATTTGCATGTTGTTGAGGCTTCGCACATGGTTTTCTTATAATGCAAAAGACAATTTTAATGCACTCATAGAATGGATTTTTAGATTTTCGAGTTTCTGACGGAATTTTGTGTTTAAAAATTATTTTTTGAGTTTTTAACATGTATTTCTAACAGAAATTTTCCGGTCTTTCGATTGAGCATGGTTTCAATACGCTCCCACAATCAAAAATGCCTAAAAAATGAGGAAAACGATGAAAATTGCCAATTGTACCTTGTTCCGCCACCTCAATGGCAGATTTTTTTCTTTCTCACACAAAGTAACTCTTTTTCCGAAACATACAAACAAATCAAAGTGGGAGCTCGCTCCCTAGTTCTATCCGAAAATGTTTCTTCAAATTTTTTGTTACTCTCTGAAAAGTTGTCTGTTTTAAAATCGGTAAAAAATAGTAATTTACTGTAAATAATGATTCCTGAAATAAAAAAAAGGATGAATTGAAAAAAATGATAGAATTGACAAAGTAAAATGAAAAAAAATCATTTGTAGATAGAAT